CCTTTCTGTTGAAATTGTCCACATGCTTGTGGATTTCAATGGCTTCTGCTGCGAGAGCCTTTTTAAACCTTGTCTCTTCCCAATGTCACACTTTCTTCTGAATTAATAATGGGGAAATGGGCTGGCACAAGAGTGGTCGAGGGGGGCACATGTCATCCATTTGTGATTTAAACAATGTGGAACAGAAGTGTGGTGATTGTGACAATAGAATCATAGAGTTGGAAGAGGCCCCCAAGGGCCATCCAATCCAACCCCCTTTCGGCTTCATGCAGGAAAAGCACCATTGAAGCCCGCCCGATAAATGGCTGCCCATCGTCTTCTTCCTTTGGTGGCCTTTATGAGTGGGCAGCTCTTCTTGCTTCTCTTTCTGCCACCCTGATCAAATCCCTTTGGAGGGGAAAGACCTGCAGTTCTCCGCCGTCTTTGTGGCATCTTTGTCTTGTGAGGTTTATTCGAGATGCTGCTTGATCGCCCTTTCATTGATCTGGTGGCTTTGTTTAATGCATCGGGTGAGGTTTGGGGCTCAGGGCAGGATAGTGTGGTTTGGCCTCTGGAAACCCACATTGGTTTTCTTTCTGGTGAGAAGAAGCCACATGTCTGTTTGTGGCACCTCTTTGGATAGATAGAGGGAAATTGTCTTTTGTTGCTCATGGAGACAAGTGCAATTCCCTGATAGTCAGGGACGGCCAAGCTGTCACTGTATTCTTTTGAGAAGAGGTGAGAAGCTTTCCTCATGTTGTTGTTGTTGTTGTTGTTGTTGTTACACTACGTAACAAAATTTGAATAAGTGCTGTTTCCTATTTAAGAGTGTGGTACTTACTGTATTTACTCAAATCTAATGCTCACCTTTTTTGGCTAAATGACCTGGCCAAAATTGAGGCGTACATTAGCTTTGTGTAATATGGTCATATTCATGCTGAGCCAAAGCCAAAGGGGAAACTGCTTCAGGAGCTTCTCTTTGAGGAACATTGTCTCTCATTTAATGGCCATGGTTCAATGCTATACAATCCTGGGATTTGTAGTTTGGCGAGGCATCAGCATCCTTTGGCAGAAGAGCCTCAATACTTTGTCAAACTACATCTAAAGGATGCTATTAAGTCATCCCTCAAAGTATATGTATCATGTGTGAACACACATGTATTTCCCTGTGATTGACTGATGTTTAGTAAACAGGCCAGAGTGTCCTTGTTGCGGCAGAGAAGCTGTGGTCTTCCAGGCATTGCTGAATGTGGTGCCCAATGACCATTGATGGGATTTGTAGTTCAATAAGTACAGACAGCAAGAGGGCCAGTCCTTACAAGTAACTGGTGTATATAAAAGTATAAGAACAAATACTGCAGAAAGCACAATATAGTTTGAAAATAGTTAAGCCTTGATCCAGAATGATATTACAGGCAGTGGCTCCTCTTCCCTTCTAGTGCCTATGACTTCACTCTGAATATAATGCCAGCCGTGACCTCATGTGCTTTATTAACTGGCAGGGAACAGGATGCACTGCCTTCTGCATATATTTGTGGTCTTGTGTCATTCAGTAGCTTTCTTACTCTAAAGAGAAACAGACACTGTGACTTTCCCGTTTTACTGATAGAATGGGACTTCCTGGGTGAAGTCATCAAGGTGACATCAAAGCTGCAGTAAAACTATGTCAGTGTCACATTCTCTTGCCTAGTGTTGTCTCCAGGTTAAGTTGGACTAGAGTTCCCATCTTCCCTGATCAGGTGATAAATCAAGAAGAGGATTATTAATATACCTGGAGAGCCCCAAGGCCATGATGCTGCAAGGCTTTAGGTCCCGGTTAATGGAAAGACCATACATCACACTCGTCTTCCTATCACACTATGTAACACCAGTTTTGGGTAATCAATGTCATTTCCTAATTGGTTCTATCATAAAAACATAGGGAAAGTCTATGAAATTGCCAAAACTTTGTTTTTGCGGGAGGGACATTATCCGGCAATAGCACATTTTGCTCTAGTTTTCCAATATGAATATCTCATTGGGGGCTCTTCCACACAGTCTTATATTCCAGAATATCAAGGCAGAAAATCCCACAATATCTGCTTTGAACTGGGTTATCCGAGTCCACGCTCAGATAATGTGGGATTTTCTGCCTTGATATTCTGGGATATAGGGCTGTGTGGAAGGGCCTTGAGTCTTAGCCAGGTCAGCCACAAAAATGAAGTTTCTGGAGTAGAACAACTACTCTCCAAGAAAGGACCGCACAATTAAACGGGAAACAACACTTTCAAGCCAGGAACAGGATTTTCTTTCCAATTTTGTTGCACAGTGTCGTTGGTCCAAGATGTCATGGGTTACACGTCCCTTCCATTTTTCCTGGCTGCCTCAAACAAGACACCCCCTTAGGAAACTTGGCAGGGTGGCCTTGTCTGCTGAATATGAAGACTTTTGGCCCATTTGGTCCACTCTTGTTTGCTATGACTCCATCTTCCAAAATCTTGATGTCAGTGGTAATTCAGTGGCTTCTAGCGATAGCCATCCAGTGGTGAGCCCTTCGCCTGGCTTGTGGGCAGCTTCCAAATCATAACTTTCAGAATACTAGGGTATTCTGGGAGGCATTGCCATTGGCTGCGGTTTTGGCAAAAGAGTATTGTGCTCCAAAACTCCAAAATTATTATTATTATTAAGGAGCCCCCGGTGGTGCAGTGGGTTAAAGCACTGAGCTGCTGAACTTGCTGACGGGTTCGAATCTGGGTAGCGGCTTGAGCTCCTGCTGTTAGCCCCAGCTTCTGCCAACCTAGCAGTTTGAAAACATGCAAATGTGAGTAGATCACATCTCTGATGCAGAGTAGATCACCGCTCTGATGGGAAGTCATGCTGGCACATGACCTTGGAGGTGTCTACGGACAACGCTGGCTCTTCGGATTAGAAATGGAGATGAGCACCAAGCCCCAGAGTTGGACACAAATGGACTTAGTGTCAGGGGAAAAGCTTTACCTTTATTATTATTATTATTATTATTATTATTATTTATTGCATTGCAAGGGAAGACCTAGACTGCACTGTGTTTCTATCTGCAAATAGTGGAAGCTAATGCACGGAGTTGTAGCCTTGGGGCCAGAAACAGGTTTCCTCACTTAAGGCTGCCTTTGGGAAAGAGAGAAACGGAGGAACCAGTTTCATCTATCATGTCAATGAGATGCTTGCTGTGTGCTCTGGAGACAGCTGCTGACCTTTTCCCTGGTCACTGTTGATAAAACTATGGCTGATGAGAAGTTGGAAGCAGCTTCTGCTGTTGGCTTTAGGTGTTTCACGTAGGTGATTGTTCTTCTTTCATAACACCAAGAAAACAAGGGATCCAAGCTAAAAACTTCATTTTACTCCCATAAAAAAATCATAAAGTTGCTTATTGATCCTATTGGTAAATTGGTCACCAGTCAAAAAGCAGAAGCTCAATAAACTACTTTGGAAAAATTGAATACAGGTCTCATTTTCACAGGAAACCCATAAAAGAAAAGAGAAAACTAGACTGTTGAATTTTAGCCTTTAGGAAGCTCAGTATGAGTCTAGGGGATCAAATAAGTCAAGAGGGGTGGCTGTAATAATAAAAGATGACCAGAATTTTCAATTAGGGAGGACAATATCATGTGGAGGGAAGGTTTATAATGATGTGAGGGAACATTAAAAAATGATCATATTGGTGATGGAATAAGCCCGGAGTGTGGTGAAGGCTCCTTCTTTGGAGCCTTTTAAACAGAGGCTGGATGTCCATCTGTCGGGGGTGCTTTGAATGCGATTTTCCTGCTTCTTGGCAGGGAGTTGGACTTGATGGCCCACGAGGTCTTTTCCACTCTATGATTCTATGACTTGACAGCATTCAGTATTTGCACTGGATATGGAAAGCATGGTCTATATTCACGTATACGTCGACCTCATGTATAAGTCAAAGGCAAGTTTGGGGGCCACAATTATGACCCCCAAACTTGGAGTCGACGATAAGGGGGTCATTGTGCCAAGTTGAGCTTCATTCAGGTTCTTTTCGGATGAAGTGGCCAAAACTTTTGCCTTCTGCCATTCTATTCAGAGGAGATGGTTCCTTAAAAAAAAAAAAGGATTAAGGTATAGTACTTACAATGCACAATGAATAAGTCAACCCGGCTTTTTGGGGGTTGCTTTTTTGAATTTTTTGGTATTTTTTAAAAAAAATTCTGATTATTTTTGATAATATTTTTAATTATTTCTGATTTCTTTATTATTTTGTGAATAGTTTTTTAATTTTTGTGATTATTTTTGAGAATATTATTATTATTTGTGAATATTTGTATTTTTGTAAATATTTATTATTTGATTTTTATTTTCTCTGAATATTTTTGTGAATATTTTATTTTTGTGAATTCTTTTTTATTGTTTTAATGAATATATTTATTAGTTTTATGAATACTTTGGGCTTATTTTTATGAATATTTTTGATTATTTAATTAATATTTCTTATTTTATATTTTGTGATTATTTTTTATTCCAGGTTATTATTTTATTTTTGTAAATATTATTTTTATTATTATTGTGAATTTAACCTACTGCGCCACTGGGGGCTCCCAAATATAGATAGATAGATAGATAGATAGATAGATAGATAGATAGATAGATAGATAGATATATAGATAGACTATTATATCTGCTATATAGTCTATTATATCTACAATATACCTGTATCCTTCTACTCAGTTTCTCTTCTATGAGGGGTTTAGCCACATTAACCACATTAACCGCATATTTAACACACACACACACACACACACACACACATATATATTGTGTCAATATTCTAGTTTTTAGTCACCACATTTAAGATAACATTCTACTTTAAAAGTTTGGCTCCATCTTCCCTCTTTTTTTCCGTTACACAATCTTTCTACTAACAAGTTTATCTTCTGTGAGGGGTTTAATAAATTAATCACCTTGACTGCATGCTTAACATATATGTATAGGTGGATATTCGGTATATATGTTCAGTTGATATTTAAAATTATTATTTTCTGCAGAATCCTGCAAGGATGGTGGTGCTGCGGCAGTTTGGGCTTCTTCTTTGGAAGAACTATATCTTGCAGGTAAGTAAGTGGCTTATGGGGAACTACTAAGTTAGTTCCCCATGGAAAGAATGTAAATAAATAAACAAGGAGGAGCCTGAGCCTACTTCCCTTTGTTCTGGAATTCTTTGTGTGTTTTTAATGGCCACAGCTAGAGTTATTTTGCTTATGATATAAGCTTGACATTCAGGTTGTGCAGGGAGGGATTTCGTTATGTCAGCCCTTTTGGGAGACCGGTTGCCCACTCAAGCACAAGTACAGTTGCGGCTGTTATTGCCATTCCCAATCACAATATGTAACAATTTGAATAATGTTCTGTTCCTGGTTTGAAAGTGTTATTTCCTGTTTAATTGTGCAGTCCTGACTTTGAAAGTAGTTGTTCTGCTCCAGAAACTTCATTTTCTGTGTCACAAACTATTGGTTGAGACTTGATGATGAGATATTCATTGAAAAACTATAGCAAAATGTGCTGCAGGATGTCCCACCCATGGGAGAAAAGCGGGATAAAAATAAACAAAGATAAAAATAATATAGGTAAAGGTAAAGGTTTCCCCTGACATTAAGTCCAGTCATGTCCGACTCTGGGGGTTGGTGCTCATCTCCATTTCTAAGCCAAAGAGCCATTGTTGTCCATAGACACCTCCAAGGTCATGTGGTCGGCATGACTGCATGGAGCACTGTTACCTTACTGCCCGAGCGGTACCTATTGATCTACTCACATTTGCATGTTTTCGAACTGTTAGGGTGGCAGAAGCTGGGGCTAACAGCGGGAGCTCACGCCACTCCCCGGATTCGAACCTGCGACCTTTTGGTCAAAAAGTTCAGCAGCTCAGTGCTTTAACCCACTGCGCCACCAGGGGCTCCAGTAATATAATAGGATGGAATATAAATAAAGACAGGCAGCAGAAAGCAAGGACAGGAAGCCCGTCAATATGAGAATGTGATCCTTCCTGTAGGAAAAAAAGAAGCGAAATCAACCTGGCCAACCTTTCAGCTGTAAAGCCATTTGTTCCTGAATATCTTGGACACGCAACTCGGAGGCGAGGGCGTGTTCGTTGTTGTCCTGCTTGCAGCATTGGCCATGACTCCACCGACAGATTAAACCTGCTTACAGGGGATTGTGGACGTTAGCTAATCCGTGCCAGATGGATCTGCCCTGGTCTCCCTTTGATTGCATGTGTCAGATGTAAATGGATCTAGAAACCAAAGGGCCATCAAGGGACAGGTACCAGGTCAAAAGGATGTGACTTAGGAATGCTTCGCCACAGCGCCAGTTACACAACCAGCTCGTGCTTCCTTTGCTATGTTGGAGACGGCTGTGACACACAACACGGTGTGGTGCTGGGCATTCTACCTTTAGAGCTGGTGCGGTGCTGCTTAGCAATGCTTTCCAATGCTTAGAAGAGTTACAGCTCCCAGAATCGCTTTGCAATGTGCTCTCAGCTTCAATCATCCCTTAGCTGGGATATCTGAGAACCGAAGTCCCAAACATGTTGACTTTCCTCACGCCTGACACCTGAGATGGACTATAATCCCCAGAAGCCTTCAGCTAGCCTAACCTAGCATTCTGGTGGGGATATTGGGATCTGGAGTTGCATTTCCATGCTCTGCAGTTTCCCAAGGTCTCAAGCAGGACCCTCTTGCCCACTCATTTTATTAACACTGAAGAAAGGAGAGGATGTATGTATGTGGGTGGGATTTTCTAAAAGTCTGTCCAAAAACAAATATTATCTGGGGAGACTATTATTATTATTTGAAACACAACAAAATTAGTACACAGCAAAAAAGATCACTATACTGGTAGTTGTATTGGATCACATGTCGGTCACTTCCCAAGTGTCTAGGACTATGTGATGTATTGGCGAATAATGCATGCAGATCCCAGTAGAGTGGCTTTTTGCAGCTGACAGATGGTAATTTTGTCAGTGCCGATTGTGTTCAAGTGCAGGCCAAGGTCTTTAGGCACTGCACCCAGTGTGCTGATCACCACTGGGACCACCTTTACTGGCTTGTGCCAGAGTCTTTGCAGTTCGATCTTTAAATCCTCGTATTGCATCAGCTTTTCCAGTTGTTTCTCTTCAATCCTGCTGTCACCTGGGATTGCAACATTGACAATTCATAATTAGTTTTTTAACACGATCATGAGGTCAGGGGTCTTGTGCTCCAAAACTATTATTATTATTATTATCATTATTATTATTATTATTATTATTATTATTATTATTATTATGCCCTGCTTTATCTCTCCCAAAGGAGATAAAAAGTGGCATAACATAAAAGAGTTAGCATACGATTTAAGATATGCAATTATTATTATTATTATTATTATTATTATTATTATTATTATTATTATTATTATTATCCCCCACTTTATCTCTCTTGGAGGAGCCTCAAAACAGCAGAACATAAAAGCATTAGCATACAATTTAAAATATACTAATATGCAAACATTAAAACAATTGTGCAAAGACTCTTAAATATGGGGTAGTTAAGTAATACAAAAATTGTGTTTCTGCATAAACAATGGCCTTGATCACTTGTAGCTTGGTCTGTCCTCATCCCTGTGTCCCTGCTTTCCTCTGCAGAAGCGACAGATCCTGGTGACAGTCATTGAGATCTGCCTGCCGCTGCTCTTTGCGGCAATTCTCATTGCCCTCCGCCACCGTGTCCATTCGGTCAGCCACCCCAACGCCACCCTCTACCCAGCAAAGAGCTTGGCCACGCTGCCTGTTTTCTTCCGTCACTGGCACCCCAAGCCCTGGGAGCTAGCCTTCGTCCCATCCAACAACACCGCAGTGGAGAGCATCGCAGAGGCCGTGGAGCTGGCCCTGCAGGAGGCAAGCGTCGATATCAAAGGTCAGCCAAGTGGTTCCTGTGCAGACATGTCCCCCAGTGGTCTTCGGACACTGCACAACACTCTCTTGTTAGCCAAACACAAATAAAATAGCATAGCTTTATTGTCATTGTGCTATTGTACAACAAAATGCCTTCCCCAGCACACACCACAAAACAACACACCCATCCCTCCGCACTCCCACCACCACTGCACAGCCCATATGCCACATCAGTGCAAAGCCATGGAGTTCAACATAGCCACAGCTCTAGGATAAAATCTGTCTCACAGTCTGTTCGTCCTTCCCTTTGTCACCCTGTACCATCTGCCAGATGGCAATAATTCAGAGAAATAATATGCTGGGTGAGATGGATCCCCAAGAATGCTCTGAGCTTTCCTAAGGCTACGGGACTTATAAAGTTCTTCCAAAGAGGGGAGAAAGAGGGCAACCTATGAGTCTACTGTGCAGGAATGATGACCCTTTGGAGCGCCTTCCTATCAGTTACCAAACTGTACACAGATGCAATTGGCCATGACACACTCTAGAGCACAGCAGTGGAAAGTCACCAGCAGTTTTCCATTTAGTTGTCGGTTCCTTAGAAGTCTCAGATAATAATACAGTCTCTGCTGGGCCCTCTTCACCAACGCTGCTACGGTATGAATGCTGCCCCAGGCCAGATCCTCCTCAACAGTGACACCCAGGGACTTGAAACTGACCATGCACTCTACTTGGTCCCCATTTTTGACCAAGAGATAAGAAGCCCCACCATAGTTGCATCATCTGCGAATTTGGTAATGATATTGTTATGGGAGTGCAATCATGTATGTACTAAGTGTAAAGCAGAGGACTCAACTCATGAACCAGTTGGATCCTGCACTGCACATGAAAGCAATCCGATACCTTGTGATCCGTAGACAATGCATGATGTACACGTGTTTGCAGTGAATCGCAAAGGGAAGAGAGACAAGGAAATAGCCTCCCTTTTGCAATTCTGTCCTTGCATCATTTATGGCATTTGCTGCCCCCTGTTTTTGTCAAGATGGTCTGCCCTCCATGTCTGCGAGTTGGCATTTTGTGGATTTGATGACAGTGTTCTCTAAAGGAACCCTCTCTATGTCTTCCATGGTCAGCTTCCAGTAAAAGTTAAAGTCACGCTTGAGAACCTGCAGATTCCTAGAGATGACGTCTCCCTTGGGATTTCTAGTTCCTCCCCTGCAATTCTGTGGCCAACCATTGACAGAAGTTGACCATGGACTCATGCTGGAGGACCTAGAGATCACTGAAGAGATATTTTCTCAGGAAAAAGTGAATTGTTTTATTTGAAGTTTGCAGTTTTATTTTCCCCAGTAAATGTGGCAGGTGGATGGTGGCCACAAGAAGCACAGATGAATTAAAAAGGGATCCAGTTAGTGGAGGGTTGGTATAAAGACCCAGAAACCTAATGTTTTTCTGAGTGCGGTTACCAAAATTCTCCAGCTAACGTGGATTTTAGAAATTACAGTTCAGAAGTATTGTTTCTAACAGATATACCTGCCAATGCCTATTAAATCTGGACTTCGGTCGTCAGAGGCAACCCATCTTTGCATAGTGGTAGGCTAGAGGAAAACCAGCCAGGCCAATTAATGCCTTTATGCTGGGTTTGTGGGCTTCTAAAAAGTATCAGACTGGCTACTTTTGGAAACAAAACACTGGGCTAGATGTCCTCTTGAATTAGGACATTCTCTGTCTGGATGAGACACTCTTTAGTTCTTCTGATGGCTCTGTTTTTTTTCCCCTTGCAGCCCGAGGCTTCCTATCTGAAAAAGATTTTGAAGACTACATCCGATTTGACAACCATTCAGGCAATGTGTTGGCTGGGATTGTTTTCGAGAACTGCTTTGCTCATAGCGAGGAAGCCTTGCCTCTCCAGGTAAGTACCTCCCCGTTTCTCATGCTGAAGAATGGAGGAAGTATGGCAGCATTGCATAGATAGTAGTCATGTGCATCTGGGACTTACCTTGATCCGTTTCGTGTGCTGGCTTTTGGTGGAGACCCCAATCTGTTTTTGTTTGAGACTCCTGAAATCAGGAGGTCAGATATTTGTTTTTTGTTTTCGGAGCCGAAAGATCTGTTTTCTTTCGGTCCATTAATGGGGGGGGGGGGGCTTTGGGCCTATGCACCCGGGAGTAGCAGGGCCTGCAGTCGAGCATCGAGTAAGGAGCGCTCCTTACTTGGTACTCAGCTGCAGGCCCGGCCAGGTCCCACACTATCCATCCAAAACGCAGGCCTCCTGCCTTTCGTATAGATTGCATTTTCATTTCTAGAGGGTTCCATTTCGTGCAGTCCGAATTGACGGAACGAAACAGAAACACGAATGAAATGAATGGGACAAATTTCAGGCTAGATAGATCTGTGTCTGGAAGAACCACCTTGGCCAAGGCATCCTAGCAATGGGTTGTAACCAGCCGCAGATAACCAAATCAGAATGCTTTTTGCTAAAGAGCAATTTGCAGCTTGTGTGGTCGAAGGCTTTCATGGCCAGAATCACTGGGTTCCTGTAAGTTTTTCGGGCTGTATGGCCATGTTCCAGAAGCATTCTCTCCTGACATTTCAGGCATCTGGGGATGCCTGCCATAGATGCAGGCAAAACGTCAGGAGATAATGCTTCTGGAATATGGCCATACAGCCCAAAAACTTACAGGAACCCAAATTTACAACTTCATTCAGATGCTTATGCATGTATGGAAATGCTGTTTCTAATCTATCCATGCATGAACGTGCATATGCACCCAATGGCTAGCAATAATTTTGTCTGGAACTTGCAAGAGCCGTTGGCAGGGAGAAAGCAGCAGCTGGAGAGGAGGCAGGCGGCTTCCCCTGTGTTGCGTTATCTGTGTTACTGATATCTTCTCTCCTAATAGAGCGATCAAGTCTGACAAAAAACCAATTGTAATAGTTGAGGATTAATGAAATAATAATAATAAATTGCTCTGTTAGTACAGATCAAATGTACGACAGGTAAAAGGATTTACAATGCAATCATTTGGAGGAAAGGCACATCACTTTCATTAAAAGATCCTTCTGTAGCAATCAGTAGCCATCAATGATTAATTAAAAAGATATTCTGGGGAAAAAAAATAAAAAAGGGGAAACCCAGTATTTTTTTCCCCCCCCCCCCCCCCCATTTTCCCGGGGTTTTTTTTCTATTTCTCTCCAATTTTTCCTGTTTTTTCCCCCCAGGTCTTCCCATCTTTACTCTTGTCCTTTGCTCCTCCTCTTCTTTCCCCCTCTTCTCTTTTCCTGACTTGTCGATTTTTATGGAACCATCAGCTTCTAGAGTTGGAAAAGACCCCAAGAGCCATCCAGTCCAACCCTTTGCCACGCAGGAGCACACAACTGAAGCACCCCCAACAGATGGCCATCCACTCATAAGTGTCTTTTTCCCCAAAGCAACACTTGAAAACCATCACAGCAGGTTATAAAGAGCAATAATAGTAATAGTAATAGTAATAATAATAATAATAATAATAATAATAATAATTCACCCTCTCTCCCTGAGGGGACTCAGAGTGGGTTACAATATATATACAAACACAAACACAGGCAAACATTCAATGTCTTAATACAATGAGACAGAAATTCACAAAGGCAAAGGGTTCCCCTTTCATCTCTGGCTTCTGGAGAGGGTGCTCAACTCTGCCTCTGGGGGAGATGTTTATCTCCATTTCCATGCCGAGTGGCCAGCATTATCCGTAGACACCTCCTGGTTGTGTAGAGCGCCTGTTTGTCTTCCCACTGCGGTAGTACCTATTGATCTACTCACATTTGCCTGTTTTTGAACTGCAAGGTTGGCAGGAGCTGGAGCTAACAGTGGGAGCTCACCCCAACCAGCAGATTTGAACTGCCAGCCTTGCAGTCAGCAGTTCAGTAGTGCAAGGATTTAACCCATTGTGCCACCATGACATTTTCAAAACATCTTTCCTAATGTGGTTAATTCACTAGTGATTTTCTGACCACCACTCTTCAAAGCAGCCTGTTGCACTGCCAAAGAGCTTTTTCCAGCAAGAAGTTCTCCCTGATGCTTGGTTGGAATCTTTTTTCCCTCTGTGGTTTGAAGCCGTTTCCTTCCCTTCCCTCTCCACTTTCTGGTCACTTTGCACCATGGGAAGAGTACGGAACGATCAACCCAAGGGGGCACTGGGTTGAAAAGAGGGTCTTTCTTGGGACCAACTTGACTAAGCTTCCCTTTCCCTTCGGTGAGGCTCTCCCTTCCACACATCAAACCATCCTCCACTTGGTTAGGAATAGCAAGAGGGAGAGGAGGAGGAGGAGGAGGAGGAGGCCTGCAATAGATGGAGCCATTGGTGGCTTTTCCCCATCAATGAAAAGGTGTGGCCCACCAAGCATTTAAATGCAAAGCAGTAACAGGAAAGACATGACAACATAGGAGAAGTGCTGGCTGCAGATGCTCTTATCCTGCTGTAATTATGATTTCCCTGCCTTGTGTAATAAAGTCCTAATCTGTGCAACTCAGTGGATGACAATGAGCCCATTGTACCCATTGGAGATAAGTAAGGCTTAGCTCACAAAGACAGTGATGTGCAGTCTGAAATCACTTACATATAAAACAGTTGAGACAGAAAAGACAAAGAAACTCTTCCCTTGCAAAACTGGACATATGTGCCATAAAATATGAATTACCAGCTTGTCAAGCATCTCGGTAAAAACTAACCTTTTGCTTAACAGAGAGGCCACAGAGAGATGCTCAGGCCTCTTTGCATTAAAAATCACCTAGTTTAGATACAATGGTATTTTTATACACTTACACCATTCACATAAAGTCAGAAAGCGCTATCAGCTTCCTGGTGCCATTTTGGAATTGCAATTACATGGTGATTCATGCAGTGTGTTTTCCTTTCTGTGATGTTTCATCCAAATGACTCACAGCTCAGTCGGTCGCATTGAGACAACCATCACCCTGCTTCATAAGTTTAGATAGGGTTTCAGTTTTTGTCCAGTCATTGGCCTTTTCCCTTCCTTCCTTCCTTCCTTCCTTCTCTCTCAGCTTAAGCTGATAGGCAAACCAGAATGGTTGGTGGTATCTTAGCTCTTCCAAATTGGGTTGATGCAGAGCACCTGGTGAACCATCCTGGACATAGCATATTATTTGAGAAAACAGAAATGCTGGACCACTCTTAACATGTCAGGCTACACAGAGAAGCCACTGAAATCCACAAGCATGTGGACCATTTCAACAGAAAGGAGTAAACCATGAAAATGAACCAAATCTGGCTACCAGTATTAAAAAACTCTAAAATTATAACAGCAAATAGAGAACAACATTCAAACACGGGAACTTCAGACAAGAAACAATCAGGGACAGCTAATCACCTCTCAACAAAGGATTCCCCCAGGCACGAACAAGCCACACCTAAAAAGTGTCAGGTCATCAAATGCTAATCAAGATGGCCAATTGAAACAGTCATACCTAGTCCAACAATCAAGAGTTTTTTCTCCCACCCTGGACATTCCACAGATATATAAACCCAATTTTCCTAGTTTCCAACAGACCTCACAACCTCTGAGGTGGCCTGTCATAGAACCAGGCGAAACGTCAGGAAAGAATGCTTCTAGAACATGGTCATATAGTTTATATGTTTAAATTTTGGATTCAGACACTCATTTGGTCGCATAGGAGCCCATCTCACCAGATTGCAAGCAATTGGACTTGGAGACCTCAAAACTAAATACCAGCAGTGGACATTTCCAAATGCATCTGATATGTGCACAGGACTCCTCCTCTGTGAAGCTGTGTGATGACATTACCTTCTTTTGATATTCTCATCACATATTTGTAATCTGTCAGACTCAAAACTTGGAAGGTTCCATAGCCCAACATGTTTAGGCTTGTTCTTGGGGTTATTTGGGGCCCTGATTCAGAAAATTGCATGGAATGGGCTGCATATGGTTATCATGATTCTTGAGCAGATGGCAACTGGTAGATAGCATATGTTCTGTATCTTGAAAGCTTGGGCTGATAAGGGGAAACCGGTGTCATTGTTGGAATCAGCAGGACAGATATATCCAGAAACAGGTCTAATGTCTGAGGCACCACAATGCGTGTCGGCCAGTGTCTCTTTCTGAGATGACAGCTCCTGTCACCACTCGTGTGGCCAAAGGATGTCGTCACCAGATTGCTGGGAATTGATGACCAAAATAAGAATTCATCTTGGCTTGGCTCATCCGGTTGCACCCTGGCCAAGTTTAGTCTTTTTGTCGGGACTGTTTGGGAAGGCAGCGCTCTTTGCTCTAACTGCAATGCTTGTCATGATTTGCCTTGCAGGTTAGTTACCACTTGCGCTTCAAGTACAGCCCGAGGAATGCTCCTCAGAGCGAGCAGACAGGTCTGAACCCCAACCTGGATCGGGACTGGCACACCAACTACCTCTTCCCACTGTTCCAGTTGCCGGGTCCAAGAGAAGCCATGTCCAGTGATGGGGGGACGCCAGGTGAGTCACACCTAGACAAAGGGTCACCCTGTTCTTCTCAGGGCTTCAGGCTGTTCTGATTTTACCTGGGCTGAACTATTTGATCCCCTGGACCAAGCCTGTACCTCCAGTTGTTTGGGGTTCCAGCTCCCAGAAGTCCCTATTGCCAGCTTGTCTAATGGTCAGGAATTCTGGGAGCTGAACTCCAAAGGACTGGAGGTTGTGCAATCCTGCCCTAGATCATAGATGGGGAACCCTTAGTTCTGTTGTGTTGGAATAACAGTCTCCACTTTTCCCAAGGCCGTGCCATTCTGGACTGAAGGCCTGGGAAATGAAGTCAAACATACTTCTGAGAAGCAAAGGTCCTTCGATTCTGACTTCGATCAAAGAGTTTTTCAGAAGTGGATTCAAAAAAATGGCCTATTTCCCTAGGAATTTTTCCACCTCCACCTGTCCTACCTAAAAGCCTCTTGCTCAAAATGGGGGTTGTGCTTGTCCCGCTGAGGCATCCTTGGGATTTCTCACACAATCCCAAGGATGAGCTGCATGGAATGTCTCCCCCACCCTCTCCCTGCCCCTTTTTCATGCCTTAGTTACACTGGAAGGGAGCTAGTAAGCACTTTCATTTAATTAGCAGCTTTCATAATTTAACTTTTATTTATTATTATTATTATTTAGCAATTTTGTATACCGGTCTTCTCTCCTCTGTCGAGGGACTCAGGCCGGTTTCCAACAGTAATATCACAAACAGTCATTAAAAACATCATATTACATATTACACTAAAATGTTAAAATAGCAAAATGCAATCACATAATTACAATGGTCAGTCGTCACAGTAAATTTGTTGTTCGTCATTCGTCGTCGTCCATCCATATCACAGAATATTGACTCACTCGTTGAAAGCCAATCTCCATAGCCAAGTTTTCACCTGTTTTCTGAATGTCAAGATGGAAGGGGCAGTTCTGATCTCCAGTGGGAGAGAGTTCCAGAGCCGAGGGGCCACCACCGAGAAGGCCCTGTCCCTCGTCCCCACCAGATGCGCCTGTGAGGCCGGTGGGACTGAGAGCAGGGCCCCTCCAGACGATCTTAACAATCTAGATGGTTTAACTTTTGCATCAAAAACAACCTGTCCCCCTACCACATCATTAATTCCATGTGAGTGTCGACTCAAGGCAGCATATCTCCGCATTTTGATGCATCTCACCCAGAGGAGAGCTTTGGCAACTGCAAGATGTCATTTGTTGTCATCAGCTCTTTCGGATGGGAGATATATAGAAAAACGTGGAATGTTCCAAAAGGGTTTGTTGTCCTTGTGACTTGGTCTCTGTTGAAATATTTCACCATTCTATGTTTGTTTGCACCAGATGTGATAATATATGTATAAAATACAGAAATTCAATTTTTTTACAGTTTCTCAGTGGCAAGGGTGCTATAAAATTCCATTTATTCTGAACAACCCTGAGGCATTATTTTGTGAGACTGGTGCAAATTTTATTATTCTTGAGATTAACTTTCCTTTCCTTACCTTTTCCTTAACTTTCAAGTATGTTTTCTTTTTTTATCTGTGATGTCCTCTTGTTGTATATACCTGTGTTGTAATTAGTAGCATAACAAATGGCTGCATGTGCAGGATGGACCCACTGCCAGGCTTGGAACATTTTCACATTTAGTCGTTTCCTGACTTGAAATCTGTCAGGTGGTGACACTTTCTGGCTAAGCATACCCAACGCTTCTTTCTTCCTGGTGATAGGTGCAACTCGTACTCTCTCTAGCTCTCAGTTGCTGGAGGTCTTTAAGGCTTTTCATTCCCACAAGCAAACAGGGATTTGGAAAGAGTGGGAGGAGAAAAACCATGCCCCAAATGCATGTTTGCAAGATATTCAGAGGTTCTAGAGCAGGCATGGGCCAACTTTGAGCCCTCCCTCCAGGTGTTTTGGACTTCTACCATTCCTAACAGCCTCGGGCCCTTGCCTTTTCCCCCTCAGCAGCTTTAGTTCTTAAGCAGCTGAGGGAGAAAAGGAAGGGGCTTGAGGCTGTTAGGAATGGTGGGAGTTGAAGTCCAAAACACCTGAGGGAGGGCCAAAGAGAAGAGCCCTGCATGCCCAACTTGAGTTCTGTGAAGGAAAGGCAGCCTGTAAAAGTAATAAATGCAAAACTATTCTAATAAGTAGTAGTAATAGTAGTAGTAGATAGATCTATTTACTGATTAGTCCACTAACCATGTCAACAATAAAAGACAAAAACAAAAATACAGACAAATAGACACTAATCACGATGCTAAAACTTCTGCAATAGTGAACTAAAATAAATTGAAACATTGATAAAACTTGATTAATAAGTTGGGTAAAATGGGATTGAATTCCAAGATGAAAGCAGGGGGAGTAGAGTGACGATTGTGAAATAATCAGTCAGAGAATTTAGATAAGTTCATTGCCATGATAAGAAGGGACCCCGTTTTATGAGATCAAGGGATCTTTCCGGCAGGCAGTTTTTGTGATGAATTTGACTCTGCAGTGGATTAATGTTGATTTTCCCCAGGAAAAAAAGAAGGCAGTTTGACCATTGGGTCCAGGTTGGTTGTTCTGTCCAAAAAACAGTTGTAGATATTGAAATCTCACCTTAGCATCTAGATAACAATAAAAGAAAATACGCACAATGTCCTCTATGGCTGGGGCACCACAGATGCATGTTCTTAGTAGTCGTAATAGTAGTGGTAGTAGTAGTAGTAGGAGGAGGAGTTCTTGATTGGTATCTTGCCCTTTGGTGGCCCTGTCTGCCATTGTGGTCCTTGGGTTCCTCCTCCTTGGGGTTCCCCTGCCTGCCGCCCTTTGGTTCCATTGAGCTCCTGCTATCCAATAACCCTCTTTGTCTCAGCCTAATCCCCACTACAGAGTTGTTGCAAAGCTCAAGCCAGAGGATGAGAAAGTCTTCCCAAGAGCCCTTCCTTACCTGCTTGTCTTGCCTCCATAGGCTACTACCGGGAAGGTTTCCTGGCAGTTCAGCATGCAGTGGACAAGGCAATCATCCAGTACCATGCAAACACTTCGGACGCCGATCTCCTGAGCAGGGTGACAGTGGTGGTGCAGCGCTTTCCATACCCACCATACGTCAACGACGTCTTCCTTCTGGCCATCCAGAACCAGCTCCCGCTGCTGCTGATGCTGAGCTTCACCTACACCTCGCTGAACATTGTCCGCGCTGTGGTGCATGAAAAGGAGAAGAAGCTCAAGGTAACACAATGACCGATTGGTCATATCTAATGTGGTTGCCTGTTAGATAAACCCTTTCTGAACTGCATGCAGCTTGGTTCATAGTCAGTGGATAATGATTCAAAGTAGGTCAATATAGATTTAATGCACTTTTAAACTTATATATTCCAGTTTTTCAAAAACAGAAGTTGCCTTCCAGGCACTTCTCATTTCTTTAAAAGCATTGTTGGCAGTCCATGACATCCTGAGATTTTCCCAGATTTTCCCAGGGCAGAACACTCAAGCCCCCCAACATGCTATAGTTGCTCACTCTTGCTTTAGGAGCTCAGAAGACTCTCACGTGTGAACAAATGTACCCAGTCTGTGTGGATTGTTATGGCTCTTTGGAGTGCACCTTGACATGTCAAAAGGAGCATTCCATGAAGACCTGCTTGAGATGAGTTCAGGAAATAAATAACAGCAAGGAGAATTAATGCAGAAATGATCAGCACCTCCTACTAACGTTTTATGGTGTCATGTTGAACTTTTTTGCCTGCAGGAATACATGCGCATGATGGGCCTCAGCAACTGGCTGCACTGGACGGCATGGTTTCTCATGTTTTTCCTCTTCCTCTTGGTGTCCGTCTTCTTCGTCACCGTGCTTTTCTGTGTTAAGGTGAGTCTCTTCCGGCAGATCTTAGAACTGATAGCAGGTTAGGCTGTGCCCCGCCATGACATAGTCCTTGTGGCTCTTGTGAACCCCCTTGAAGGTGTAGAAGATGCCAATGCAGGTTGAGAAGACCAGCGTCAAGCTGTCATGATCTGTCAACTGCAAAAGGCCACCTTACTTGGATCTGCATGCATCATTCGAAAATACATCACACAGTCCTAAACGCTTGAGAAGTGTTCAACTTGTAATTTTGTGATACAAAATCCAGCATATAGATCTTGTTTGCTCTGTCACTGTGTTTTTGTGTCAGTAAAATAATAATAATAATAATAATAATAATAATAATGTTTATTTATAATATTATATTATTATATTAATAATAATAATAATAATAATAATAATAATAATAATAATAATAATCTTTATTTATTTATAACCCGGCCTATCCCCCTGAGGGGACGTAGGGCGGTTTCCAACAAAGAATGACAAACATTCAGTGCCATAAAACAATACAAAATGATCAAATAACCCCATGAGTAAAACATCTATAACAAATTATAGCAACTACTAAAAAAAATTAAATAATTAAGTAAAACATATAAATCTATTAAACCTGAAAAGTAACAAAACCAATCAATTTGAATACAGTAAAATGTAGACAATGGAGTTGCTTCCTGGAAACAACAGGCTGCTTCATCACATCTCATGGACACTCTGGCTTTGGGTTGGGAATAGTGGTGAAAAGAGCTCCTTGGACGGAATGGCTGCAAGATTGGGGCGTTTTATTGAATTCATTTGTAACCTGCCTTTCTCTCAACGTATAGTGCATAAAGTCTTTGTTCTTTTATTTGCCATTGAGTAAACTTCAGTGGCAAACCCTTGCATGAGAGACTTTTTAAAGAGCCCCCTTTATCATCATTTGCCCTGTTCAAGCCTTGCAAATTCAGTACAGCCATGGCTTCCTCATTCTACCTGCAATGCAATCACCTTCTTTTCCTGTTTCTTTCTTCTTTACCAAGTGTTATCATCTGAACTTTGGCCCTTAAGGTGTTTTGGACTTCAACTCCCACAATTCCTAACACCCTCATGCCCTTTTCCTTTTCGCTCTCAGCTGCTTAAGCGGAAAAGGAGAGGATAAGGATGGGTCCTCAGGCTGTTGAGAATTGTGGGAGTTGAAGTCCGAAACACCTGGAAGAAGGGCCCAAGTTTTCCGAGGCCTGGTCTACACTGTCATATAATCCAGTTTAAAGAAGATATTCTGGATTTTATATTGCAGTGTAGATACTGCCTCAAATAATGCAGATTGAACTGCATTGAACTGGATTATTTGAGTCTACACTGCCATATCATCCAGTTCCATGCAGTCAGTCTGCTCTCTGAATCATTTTGGCTTCCGGCAAGAGTTCAGATTGAATTTAATCGTGATTTATTCTCTTATTTTTATTGGTTATCTTAATTTGCTCTCGGATCCATAATAATAGTATAACATAGGCACATGCACATATAAATGTCACCGAGAGACCTTCCGCTTAAATAAGAAGGATTTTACTTGCCAATGAAAGGTAAAAACAGGGAAGAAAACTGTGCAACCTGGGAACAGTCATTATCGAGAAGGGTCTTTCGGATTTGGAAGATCTGGGTTCAGGTCTTAATGCACTCATGAAATATATGCTGGGTGGCCAGCTACACATGCTGTTTTAGTCTGATCTTCCTCACATCATTGTGCAGAAGGTGAGATACAGAACACTATCTGGACTAGACCCCAGAGACTTGCTTTAGGCATGCCTAGCTTGGGGAAAGGGCCAAGCATTTTTAGGTCTCGCTTGCTATTCTCAGTCTATCTTCTGCGTTTCTGCACTCTATGGATAGGTTGCGAGCACGGATTGACTTAATGAAACACTTAATCTGTTTGGCAGGTGAGTGAGCAAGGTGCGGTGCTGACAAACAGCGACCCGACCCTGGTCTTCACCTTCCTGACGGTCTTCTCCGTCTCATCCATCGCCTTCAGCTTCATGGTCAGCACCTTCTTCTCCAAAGGTGAGTGATCTTGGAGACCAAAGGGCGAATGATTTGCACTTCTATCCTAGTCCAGCATACCATTCCCTTGATGGCCAATCAGTTGCCTATGGGAAGCCTGCAAGCAAGGTAAAAATTATGGCAACATCAGTTGTTTTGTGGTTTCCCAGAAACTGATGTATGGAGACAGCATGTTTTTAATGATTCGGGGACTATCTAAGCATCATGCCTTGTAGTTGTTGAAAGATCGTCCTATTCTCCCTTATTCCCTCCATACAGAGAATTATGGGAGCCCCCGGTGGTGCAGTGGGGTTAAACCCTTGTGCCAGCTGGACTGAAGACTGACAGGTCATTGGTTCGAATCCAGGGAGAGCGCGGATGAGCTCTCTCTGTCAGCTCCAGCTCCCCATGTGGGGACATGAGAGAAATCTCCCATAAGGATAGTAAAACATCAAAACATCCGGGCATCCCCTGGGCAAGGTCCTTGCAGACGGCCAATTCTCTCACATCAGAAGCGAGTTACAGTTTCTCAAGTCGCTTCTGACACAAAAAAACGCAAATTGAGTTCAGGAGCTGAATGTTCTTGCTGCTGCTTTTCCCATCTTCCAAACATTTCCTGTGCCTTTCAGAGTATATCTTTGGTGGCTTGAGGCAATACGTTATCTTGATACTGCTCTATGCTCTATGTCAGTGGTTCTCAACCTGTGGGTCCCCAGGTGTTTTGGCCTTCAACTCCCAGAAATCCTAACAGCTGGTAAACTGGCTGGGATTTCTGGGAGTTGTAGGCCAAAAACATCTGGGGACCCCAGGTTGAGAACCACTGCTCTATGTGAAGTTATTATCGCATATCGAGTCATTGTGGAGAGCTTGGAGATGTTCCTTTTTATATATTGCAATTCCTAGAATAGGAATTGTAAACCAGCCCCTGGCACTGTGTATACAGGCAGCTCTTCGTATCGATTGGACACGCCACAGACCCTTTTTGTGTACAGTTTTCTCACTTCACTTAGGTAATCCCTCGTAGCTCGAGAATGGTTGTCTTCCAGATGTGGTGTCTTGGCGGTAGGTCCGTAGGTGACTGTGTAGCCCTATTCTTGATCTGCATCTCCCGCAGTGAGGACAAGGCGGTCCCGGTCAGGGTTGGCTTGACGCTCCTTCCTCTTGGCACATTTCTCTCTTTCGCCCTCTGTTCATGCCTCTTCGAATTCTGCAGCACTGCTGGTCACAGCTGACCCAGTTAGAGCACTCAAGGGCCAGAGCTTCCCAGTTCTTGGTGTTATGCCACAGATTTTGAGGTTGGCTTTAAGCCCATATTTAAATTTCTTTTCCTGTCCACCAACATTCTGTTTCCCATTCTTGAGTTCGGAGTAGAGTAGCTGCTTTGGGAGACAGTGATCGGGCATTCGGACAATGTGGCCAGTCTAGCAGAGTTGATGGCGGAGGAGCATCACTTCAATGCTGGTGGTCTTTGCTTGTCATATATACCTAGTTTTCTCATATACCTATTTTTACATATATATATATTCCTGTTAATTAAAGCATTTTGGTGCATTGTTTAAACATGCATGTGACTTTGTGGCCTTTTCCTCTTACAAATGTGATAGAAAAAGGGGCAAGAAGTACTATATCACTTTGCCTGTCTGGGCAGATGTGAAGCAGAGTATTGTAAAAGCAACTCATTTTCTTTCCCGTTCTTCCATGAGAGATCGACCTATAGCCTCCATAGAGGTGCAGTAGTTGAAAAATCCTGCTGATGCCACATTATTCCTGACTGAAAACAACAGAACACAGCCAAACATGTTTACCTGACCAAATAGCACCAGCTCACATGATCATAGGGATTCAGACCCGGTATCCCTTTACAGCTCTATTGCTTCAGAGTCCAAAGTTCAACTATTTGAATGATGTGTTGGTTTTTTGTCTGGTGGTTCTGCCTTCTTGGGGTTTTTTGAGTGACAAAAGTCTTGGAAGTGGTTGCTGATACGCTTTGCTGTGTTATAATTAGATGTGCTAATGAGGAAGTCTGTGGGAGTTTGAAGCAATGTGGATCCTAGTAAATGGCGAAAGAGCTGTTGAGTTTAAAAATGGACTATTTCTAACAGCATTATCCCCCCCCCCCCTTCCGCATCTAGGAGATTAATGTTGCAGTTGCAGGTTTGCACAATTGCTCAGTTTGTAATTTAACCAGGAATGGGGTGAGTGCCCATTCTTGCTTCCTGCGCTCTCCTCATCCCCATCAATGCTAGCAACGGGAGGCGAATGGCAATGGTGGAAGCATCTCAGGATGGAATCTGCGGGTAAATTACCTTGGCCATCGTTTGGAGACTCCTGTTGTAGGTGTTTTATAAGACATAAGCATTTTTGTAATGCCTGACTATTGCCTTTCTCTTCTCTCCGGTGTCCATCCTTGCACTCACAGCCAACGTGGCGGCAGCTGCTGGCGGGTTCCTCTATTTCTTCTCCTACATTCCCTACTTCTTCATTTCCCCGCGTTACGACCTCATGAGCCACAGCCAGAAGCTCTCTTCCTGCCTCATCTCCAACGTTGCCATGGCCATGGGAGCCCAGCTGATTGGCATGTTTGAAGGGAAAGGTGAGCTGAAAAGACAGTTTCATTAAGAACACTTCATAACACTATGGTTTTTGTTCCTGGGTCATCAATGTCATTTCCTAATTAGTTCTAACATTTAAAAAAACATGGGAAAGGTTTACCAAACTGCAAAAACTTGGAATGAGGTGGATAGGCTGCTCTCGAGTGGCAGGAGCAACAATCTGATTCTTGGGTTGTTGTAGGTTTTTTGGGCTGTATGGCCATCTGTGGCAAGCATCCTCAGAGGTTGTGAGGATGCTTGCCACAGATGCAGGTGAAACATCAGGAGAGAATGCTTCTAGAACATGGCCATACAGCCCAAAAAACCTACAACAACCCAGTGAGTCTGGCCATGAAAGCCTTTGACAATCTGGTTCTTAACAATTGGGCCATGGTAGCACAGTGGGCTAAACTTCTAGCTGCAGAAAAACTTACTGACTGGAAGGGTGGCAGTTTGAAACCGTGGGTCAGGATGAACTCCCACTGTTAGCCCCAGCTTCTGCCAAGCTAGCACTTCAAAAACATGCAATGTGAGTGGATCAGTAGGTACAGCCTCGGTGGGAAGGTAAAAGGCACCCATGTAACCATGCTAGTAAAACACGATCAGCAGAGTCTACGGACAGCATGCTCCTCAGCATGCAAAATGCAACAAGAGCACCTCCCCATGGCCAGAATTGTGCCTCCAGATGCCGGAGATGGAAAGAGAAACCTTTGCCTTTGTTTGTGTACTGTATGTCATTGTTGTTGACCGTATAAAAGGCATTGAATGTTTGCCTATATATGTGTATACTGTATTCCGCTCAGAGTCCCCTCAGGGAGATAGAGCACAATATAAATAAAGTGTATTATTATTATTATTATTATTATTAGTAATATCAATAAGACCAAGGAGCTCATAGTAGATTACAGAAAAAAACAGACCAGAAACCCAGCCCATTTGAAGTTCCTGGGTGTCACTGTGAAGGAGGATCTGACCTTGGGCAGCGTTCATATAACAGCAGAGTTGGGGAAGAGGGCCCAGCAGAGACTGCACTGTCTGAGACTTCTAAGGAACCACCAACTGAATGAAAAACAGCTGGTGGCTTTCTCCCACTGTGCTATAGAGAGTGTCCTAACTGACTGCCTCTGTGCCCGGTTTGGTAACTACACAGTGGCAGATAGGAAGGCGCCCCAAAGGGTCACCACTTCTGCCCAGAGAAGCATTGGTTGCCCTCTTTCTCCCCTCTTTGGAAGAACTTAATAGGTCCTCAAGAAAGCTCAGAGCATTATCGGGGATCCATCTCACCCAGCATATTATTTCTCTGATTTATTGCCATCTGGCAGACAGTGCTGGGTGACAAAGGCAAGGACAAACAGACGGAGAGACACCATTTATCCTAGAGCTGTAACTCTGTTTATTGATGTGGCATTGGAGGTTGTGCCATAGCAATTAGAATGTGGAGGGGTGGATGTGTTGTTTTGTAGTGTGTGCTGGGGAAGGCATTTAATTTCGTTGTGCAATAGCACAATGAAAAAGCTATTCTGTTCATAGCACTGAGCCATGGCAACTAAAGTGGTGTCGAATTGCATTTAATTCTGCAGTGTAGATGCCCCCAAGTGAATGTCATAGTCTAGTGGGGACTGGGAAGTCCCAACCCATGATGTTCTTAGGCGCTATACCGCTCTGACAATGGCTTGTCCAACGGGCCTTTTTTCCTCTAAGGGACTGGGGTGCAGTGGCGGGACCTTATGAAGCCAGTCAGCGTGGATGACAACTTCACTTTGGCTCATGTTCTGGGGATGCTCCTCTTTGACTCGGTGTTGTACGGCTTGGTGGCCTGGTACGTGGAGGCTGTTTTCCCAGGAGAGTATGGCATCCCGCAGCCCTGGTATTTCTTCTTAACGGTGAGTCCTGGGACCTCATCACATGTAAACTTTAAACATTGTAAAAGTACTACAAATACACATTATAAAATGTATTTCTATAAAACCTACATATTAAATAATAACAATAATAATAATAATAATAAAGAAATAATTTATATCCCATTTTTCTCCCAAAAGAGGGACCCAAAGCTGTTTCCAACATATCAAAAATAGTATAAAATCAACAGCAATTAAACACATATATAACATATGAAACATCAATAAAATATAACATCAACATAAATTGGCATTTTAAAACCATAAATAAACATTTAAAATTGATTGGCAAATCATAATCTTAGCAGTGTATGGTTTAGCATTTGAGGAAGCATATTTCTATAAAATACATATTAAAATACACAAAACAGATTAAACATGCATTTAAAGTCCATGCTTAAAGAATGGCTGGGCAGGTCTTTCCATGGTTTTTACATTTTAATTTCTGCATACATCACTCCCCCCCCCCCCCCCCCCCCGTTGTTGTTGTTGTTGTTGTTATTAAATGCGCAGTGACGCTGTTGTGCTGTATGAAGGAATTCTGAATTATTTTCCTGTCAAATTCTTTTGAAAACACATTCTAAAAAAGGACAGAAGGCTTCAAAGTAGCGATTGCCAAGGTCTTCTCTCGCCATGTATTGAGAAGACAGCTCACAACTGGTGACGGCTCACTTTGTGACAAATATCAGGATTTGCAGGGATTTCCCCAAAGGAGACGCCACAACACAAGGGACGGAATGCTTACTATGTCACCAACCACACATAAAAGCAGCACATTTCATGCAATTTATATTTTGAAAAAACACAATACGAATGCCGTGTCCAAATGCTCCATTTCTGCCACGTTTATCACACAGAAGACCTTACTGGTACATTATTTAAACTGTTATGTTTATTCATATCATGATCTGATTACCATGCTCAATATATCCCATATGCATGGGGTATTGGGGTAACGATACAAAAGGTTTGCTAGGGTAGACCCGCTTTCACTCAGACTCAGCCCCCCCCCCCCCCGAATCAAACTCAGCCCCTCCCAAAACAAAATCCTGGCTACGGGCCTGTGTGATCAGGTCCCTGCTCTCTCTTAAAAGTTTTCCATTTGGGACACCTTTTGGCCCAATAAATTGTTACGTGACCCTAGGTATATATGAAATAGGTATAAAAACCAAAGATACTGATACTATATCAGCATTTGCAAGGCTTGCTAAAGAGGCCAATTTTCCTTTTTTAATTATGAAGCGGAGCTGAAAAATGTTCTGCAGAGCCCACTATAAAAAACTGCATAACAGATTTGTGTAAATGCCTAAAACAGCCACTAGATGGCACCCAGAAAACTTTATCTGTATCCAGATTCCCCTTTTGGGACCCACAGTTTAAGCAGCAGTGCTCCCAATAACCACCAGCTAGTTTTTTTTATAAGCAGGGAAGAATATATTGCAAAGTGTACCAAGAGGGAAGAGGATGAAATGAAATTGAGCGTGAATGAGTTATCCACAAACTAAAAAAAATGATGAATAATGCAAGTCTTTTTTAAAAATGAAAAAAAAATCTCTCTTTAGCCTTCTTATTGGTGCGGAAGTCCTCAGACAGTTTTGGGAAAGGAGAAAGAAGAGGAAGAAGACCCGGAGAAGGCTCTGAAAAGCCAGTACATTGAGGAGGAGCCTTCCGACCTGGTCTCTGGCATCAAAATCAAACATCTATCCAAGGTGCGTTCCTCCCGGCTTTTACCAGTAGAACCAGTAAGGTATTGGGAGACCTATAGAAACAGTATGGGATAGAGGTTCAGATTTGGGAGCCCCAGCCCACCCCCCAAAAAACCCCAACCCATATAAAACTCATCAGGAAACTTTGGGTCAGACACTGTCTTATCCTAATCCAGCTCATCCAGTTGTTTTGAGAATAAATTGAAGTATGAAGCAAAAGAAGAACACAACTGTGACTAATGGTAAACACTGCCAGCCACTGTCATGAATTTGGACTTCAGAGGCTCAGTATTTTGGTCTGATGCTACATTAGAAAGCTTGTTGTACATGCCATTCAAAGGGGGAAATGGAGAAAAGGCCATCCTTTGCTTGGAGCCTGCAACATATCCTTTTCAGGTTTAAAAAAAAATAAATGGATGAACTGTCTGTCGATTTGAAACAGTTTCTCAGCAAGGAAGGATGATTCCTTAGAATATGTTCTCAGTGAAAATGGTAGTGATGCCATATACAGATTTTCCTACCTTTGTCCCTCTTATCCCTGCAATGCAGCTCTTCCTCTGAACTGCATTGTCATGCCTGAGTTGGGATACTTGCTCGTTCATTGTCTTTGTTCACTGTAACATTGAAAAAATAAATTATTCTTCATTGGTCTCATTCTCCTTATTGGAAGAGGAGGGGCCCTTAAAATTGTAATGGCATGAAATGTTTTTATTAGAATGCCTCTAAAAGTATCTTTAAGTAACTTTTACCTACAAAATATTTTCAGCAGGCACTTAAGCAATGCAACATGTTTTCCCCAGTCGCTGTGCTAATTTGAAATCGGAACATTGTTGATGTTCTTGTTACTGGGGGAAAAGTATCATCTTCACATTTCTTGCAGGTGTGTTACTTCTTCCACACTCTGGTTTGTTGATCTTTTCAGCAAAAAGTGAAAGAACTCTGCAGGCAGTTGGTGTTTTGGTGCAGGCTTTTCTGACACTTGCATCTCCCCCTGACGGCTGGAATGCTTTGTCTTGAGCACCCCCCCAAAGCACCTCTGAACATCTCTGTCCTTCATTCGTGCCCGCAGGTCTTCAAGGTGGGAGGGAAAGCCAAGGAGGCTGTCCGGGACCTGACCCTGAACATGTACGAGGGACAGATCACGGTGCTTTTGGGACACAACGGCGCTGGGAAGACTACCACTCTCTCCATGCTGACCGGTGAGACTGGGCCTGCACGTCGACCATGGCTTCAAGCAGCAGCATTTCAGCACATCTCCAACCCCCAACACTTGTAGTTTGCTAATAAAACCACTGAAAGTTATTTTCTACAAACTGGCATTTTCAAAAGCCAGATATTATAGACATCTTTTGTACTGACCCAGTAGCATACTTGTGCTAATGACCAGAAATAGTGGGTGCAAGGGCTCCTTTTCAACTGTTTCTGTCACAAAAATGCAGTTTGTGTTCTATTTCAGAGAATAGGGGAAACTGAATAATCTGTACCTTGAGACTATATACTCTGAAGAATATACCAGTGGCACTAGATCTGGGTTTAAACACTTATGCATGTAACTTTTATTCAGCATTTAAAATCATACATTGCCGTGGTACCAAGTGGATCCATTCTTACGCACATTCACACGCACATCTTCACCAAAGCTTCTCTCAAAGGATTGATCAATTCTTTCGCAGAAGCAATGGACTGTAGATGTAGCGCCACAGCTGATGACGACACAACATCTGAAATAATAATAATAATTAATAATTAATCTTTATTTATACCCCACCCCTCTCCCCAAAGGGACAACTTCCACAATTTCTAACAGCCTCAAGCCTCTTCCTTTTTCCCCTCAGCCACTTAAGTGGAAAGGGAAAAGGAATGGGCCTGAGGCTGTTAGGAATTGTGGGGGTTGAAGACCAAAACATCTGGAGGGAGGGCCGAGGTTTGCCCATGCCTGAGTTAAACCACCCCCTTAGAAGAGATGCAGACACAAATACAAATGGTAATAATGAAATGTCTTGTGAAAACCATTCATTTATATATTTAGAATACCTGATTTATTACTTATTTCCCAAAGACTCAGATGTCTCTGGTTACATTCACAATGCCCAGTTTGGAAGGCACTGCTCTATGGGGTCTCAAGCCCCCTTCCTCACACAGAAAAATCCGTTTTCAGAAAACATGGGAAAGATGGGTCTCTTGTTAATTTCAGTGTTCCCTTAACCATAATTAAGTCTGGATCGAGCCTCCTTTGTTCTTTGGTTATTTATTGATTCATATGGACTTTATTTGCTTCCTTGATATCTCATCTTTCTCTCCACGGGAACCCAGGTGGCTTAACAATCACATACTTTGGTCACAATTTAAGACAAAAAAAACCTAAATAATGGGGTGTGGATTTAGGTTAAAATAAATACACTTAAAATAGCCTTTAAAACTCACCCCAAGCCCCACCCACACCTCACCAGCAGTGTATTTAATTAATCTAACATGATCACAGTTCTCAAGGCTGAGTCAACAAATTGCAGAGTACCAAAGCAGAGGTTTCTTCTGAATATATCTTCAGTGTGGGAGTTCTACCAATTCCTGACTCAGTGAGAAGCAGGGAACATATGTAATATCGCCTTTGAACCTCCCTGTTCTTTTCTTGGTTCATTGGGGGTTGATGGTTATTCTGACTACACATATCTTTTCCTTTTTGACGGTTGTTGCTATCCAGGGCTGTATCCTCCAACGAGTGGCCATGCGTACATCAACGGCTATGAGATTTCTCAGGACATGATTCTGATCCGGAAAAGCCTCGGCCTTTGCCCGCAACATGATGTCCTTTTTGATCAAATGACAGTGGAAGAACACCTGCGCTTCTATTCCGGGGTAATCAGCCTTAAACGTTCCAACATCTCTTTTAGTTGCAGGCTATCAGGGTCATGCTGCTGTGAGAGAGCAGTGGGATTTAGGCTCTCAACAGAAGAAAAAAAGTGCTTTGTATACTTCCTGTAAGTCAAAACAATTATGTGAACTAAAAGGGGACTGCAAAGCTAGGGATACTTTCAACAAGTTACAAATATAATCATGTTCCTTGCTACTGTCGTCAGAGTATTTTAAAAATTACAGCCAGTCCTCCATATCCACAAATTCTACCTCCACTGATTCCGTCATTCATAGCTTGAAAATATCCTTGCAGAAATCCCAAAAGCACACTTTTATTTTGCAATTCTGTTATGAAGAGCACCATTTTGCTATGCCTTTGTATATATAATAGTACATGAGCATCCATAGAGTTTACTATTCATAAGGAACCAAACTTAGAGGATACTGAGGGTCCAGTGTAATAATAAAAATAATGAAACCCAGTCATTTGTGATGCACAAAATGGCACCTTGTGTAGAAAGATGTGCAGATGTGCTCACAGCACATTAAAATATATGGACTTTTATCCTCCCATCTTCCAAAAACGTAGGCTAGAAAGTTGGTTCTTTTTCAGGTTTCTTTCTTGAAATGTAAGCAGTAGCAAAGAAAATATCCTGCCTAGCCTCTGTCCTTACATTTTCCTCTTTTTGAACTTTCTAGTTGAAAGGATTCCCTGTAGAGAAATGCCCGGAGGAGATCAGTCGCATCCTGCATATCCTCTGCTTGGAGGAGAAACGCTACTGTCTGTCGAAGGCTCTGTCTGGAGGGATGAAGCGGAAGCTCTCCATTGGCATTGCGCTCATTGGGGACTCCAAGGCAAGTCTGTCTATGTTTGGAGTTCTCTTTGTCATTCGGTTTCCACTGGGACTGCTGGTTGGGTTGACGAATACATGATGCAAGAATGTAGCTGGGAGTTGTACGTTTGGGTAGGAACCTGTTTAGAAAGGTTCCTTTACCAACTACAACACCCAGAATCCACTTTCTAGTGTTGCTGCCGGCTGTTAGGGAATCTTGTGCGTTGTCCTTCAGGAAAGTCAACATGTCCATCTTTCAGGAATACATACTTTTCAAACATTAAAATGTTCTTTAATCTTTGTTCAATGGGACAGAGTACATCAGAGAAAGAAGTAGACGTCCAGTACTGGCTTCATAATATCTATATTGGTTACACAGACAAAGGGGAAGCATCACATTTACTCAGCATTCACTCACACATTCAACATTCATACTCAACAACCTTCTTCATTCACGTACATTCAACATTCATACTCAATATCCTTCTTCACTCACATTCATACTCATCATCTTTCCGGTGGCGCAGTGAGTTAAACCCCTGTGCCGGCAGGACTGAAGACCGACAGGTCGCAGGTTCAAATCTGGGGAGAGGTGGATGAGCTCCCTCTGTCAGCTCCAGCTCCTCATGCGGGGACATGAGAGAAGCATCCCACAAGGATGATAAAAACATCAAATCATCCAAGCGTCCCCTGGGCAACGTCCTTGCAGACGGCCAATTCTCTCACACCAGAAGCGACTTGCTCCTGACACGACCCAAAAAAAAAATTCTTTATTCACATGCATTTAACATTCATACTCATCATCCTTCTTCACTCGCATATAATCAACATTCATACTCCCCGTCCTTCTTCATTCAAGTACATTCAACATTCATACTCACCTTCTTTCTTCACTCACATACATTCAACATTCATACTCACCATCCCTTTCCATTAAGTTGATCAGGCTTGTTGGGAGGAAGGAGATGGGTGTTTAGATTCTGCATTCCTCTCAGATCTGGCACACAGCTGAAAAGGAAAAGGATCTCCTATATAGCGATGTTTGGTGTCCATTATTTGGTTGTTTAGAGAACCTCTGACATTCAGCTCAGACCTGTTGGAGCCTCATCAGTCCCAGAACCAATAAGTTGTTTAACTTCATTCTTTAGGTAACACTGTCTTTGGCTATTGTAAACTGCTGTTGTTTACACCAAAAGTCCTCGGGTCATTTCTCATCAGCATTTTTCTTGCTGAATTCTCCAGCTCCTTTGTTCTTTCCATAATGCAGTTTTCCAGGTTTCATTTTTAGGATGGTCTCTTCAGCCTTGCCAGATCTTAACAGGCCCCATCCAGATCCTGATTGTACATACAATTTCATTCAGTCCACTTACTGCATAGCTCTGCACTGGCTTCTAACCTGTCCTTCTCCATTCCGCCCAGGTGGTGATGCTGGACGAGCCCACCTCCGGCATGGACCCTGTGTCTCGCCGAGCCACATGGGACCTCTTGCAGCAACAGCGGAGCAGCCGCACCATCCTGCTCACCACACACTTCATGGATGAGGCAGACCTCCTGGGGGACCGCATTGCCATCATGGCCAAAGGGGAGCTCCAGTGCTGTGGGTCATCGCTCTTCCTCAAGCATAAATACGGTACAGTTAATCCACTTTCTGCCAACAATGGCTCTTTTTGGCGTAGAAAGAAGGGCATGCAGGGAGTGGTTGCCTTGGTACCTCCCTCCTACCCAATAGGTGGGGTGGAGGAAACAAGACAGTGCTCTGGCTCTTTAAAGAGATATTATTCTTCATTTCTTAAATTTGTACTTTTCTCCAAAGTGCCTGAGATAGCTTACATGGTTCTCTTAACCATTTTAATCCTCATAACAAGGTAGGTTAGGGTGAGGAAGTTCAACTGACTCACGACCACCTAGAAGGTTTCACGACTGAATTTGAGTCACTGCCATAATCCTGTAGTTCTGCCTATTCATTACACCACACCACACTTACATATAAAACAAGGCATATGGGCAAGTTGAGCTTGCAGGACAAGTCTGTTGAAATTCCCTTTTGAAGGTAATTGTGGAGGTGCGATTTTGTAGCACAATCACCATGTGAAGCTTGTGACCAGTATTGGCTTGGAGTAGATGTGGGTTCCACATGAATGCTCAGGGTCAGTTTGCTCATAAACTTCCATCCCCCCCCTCCCAAAATAATCTCTGCCTCAGCAGCCTGTGGCCAGGGCATTCTTTGCAACCCAAGCTCATTTTGGCACACTTTCATGCTTTATTCTGATTCTTCTAGTCACAGCAAAGTAGGGACAATGCTTTGGCTCGATAGCAGGCTACTTGCTTTGTATCTAAGGCCCTTCTACACTGCCACATAAAATCCAAATTATCTGTTTTGAACTGGATTATGTCAGTGCAATGTGATTATTTGCTTTGATAATCTGGATTATATGGCAGTGTAAAAGTGGCCTGAGGTTCGGTTCTTAGAGTGAGCTGAAACAGTTCCCTGCCTGAAACTTTGAATGCCTGCTGTTAGTATAAATAATATGGACTAGATAGATTAAGTTTAGTATGACACAGTTTTGAATGCCCCTTACTGCTGAGAAAGGACTATAGTTCACTCAGTCGTCATTTACTTTGCAAAACAGAAGGTCATGGTTTGGTCCTAGCATTGTCTTGAAAGGCAGGAAGAGATAGCTTTCTGAAAATCTGGAAGACTGCTGCCAGTCAGTGTCAACAGTACTGAACTTTGATGGGCTCATGTGTTGGTGCTTTCTATATTTCCTCAAAAACCACCCTCTTCCTTTTCCTACCCTGCTGCCTCCTAGGTGCAGGATACCATATGGTGATGGTGAAGGAGCCATGCTGCAACCTTGGAGAGATATCCCGCCTCATCTATCACTATGTGCCCAAAGCCACCTTGGAAAGCAATGCCGGAGCAGAGCTCTCCTTCATCCTCCCCAAAGAAAGCACACACCGGTAAGGAGATGCAGGAGAGACCCCTTCCCAGGCTGGAGAATGACGCTATGTAACCAAATTTGATAAATTTCCTGTTCCTGGTTTGAAAGTGCTATTTCCTGTTTCATTGTACAGTTCTTACTTTGAAGGCAGTTGTTCTACTCCAGAAAATTCATTTTTTTGTGGCTGCGACAATCTATGCTGAATTGAGACTCTATGATGAGATACTCATTGAAAAACTATTGCACAATGTGCTATAGCAGGATGTCTCTCAAAAAACAAAGTTTGTTTCAGTGGCCCTCTACCCCTGTTATAAGAACAAAGATTCAATACTTTGAAAAGTGGAGAGCACTGTTTCTTTATGCTATATAACAGGCATGGCCCAATCTCGACCTTCCCTCCAGGTGTTTTGGACTTCAGCTCCCACAATTCCTAACAGGCTGTTAACAATTGTGGGAGTTGAAGTGCAAAACATTTGGAGGGATGAAGTTTGCCCAGGCCAAATCTGACTGTATCACAACTCTCACTAACTCTAGCCTGTTACTGGATGCTAGTATGTGCAGTGATTTATAGTTTCCCAGTCACAATCTCTCTGAACCACTGCCAGCTGGATAACAAGTGTCCCGGAAGTGAACAAAATACAGCAGAGTCCTTTCACAGCAAAACACACACTTCAGTGCATTTTTCAGCAGAGTCCAACTACCAGCATCTGACCTTATCTATACACTGTTTAGTTAACTCACGGATTCAGGTTTCCATCCAGAATATCCAGAAGCTTTAATCTTCACCATTGCAATATATTCAAATATATAAAGAGGATTTGCAGATCTTCATTACTTGTACTTGCAAACAATCAGAGTCTTCAGATAGTCACATACAACATAGGCAGATTCTCACAATGAGTCATGCAGGAGAGAGGAAGATGGATTATTTCACCCTCCTTATATAGCCACCTGCTAATAGGTCATTGATAAGGAACCACACCCTTTAGGTATAGCATCATGAAATTCACAGCTATTACTCTGGTGCTGTCAATATACCACATGATCATCAAACAGTATTCTTTCCATGATTAGAAATGCTGTGACATTTCTATCTAACATAGCTATGGTGTCAAATGATGAGGGATATAAAAGTTGTATTCCAGCATCTGGAGGAGGGACACATAGAATGACATGGCGGGCCAGATTCATGTGTGCTATAGACTATAGACAATGCAAGGACCGTATCTGGAATGACACAGCCCTTTCTTGTTCCCTGTTAATGTCCTGCTGTTCCAGGTTTGAGGCTCTGTTCACAGAGTTGGAGCTGCGGCGAGAAGAGCTGGGCATTGCCAGTTACGGTGCCTCCGTCACCACCATGGAGGAGGTTTTCCTCAGGTAAGCTGCTCAGACCCTTGCTGGTTATCCTTAGGTTAGTTTAGGCATGGGTAAACTTGGGCCCTCCCTTCAGGTGTTTTGGACTCCAACTCCCACAATTCCTAACAGCCGGCCGTTAGGGAGTTGAAGTCCAAAACACCTGGAGGGAGGGCCGAAGTTGGCCCATGTCTGATCTAACTGGGTCCATTTCCATTCCTGGAAGGGTCGGCAAGCTGGTGGATTCCAGCATGGACATCCAAGCCATCCAGTTGCCAGCCCTGCAATACCAGCATGAGCGGCGCTCCAACGACTGGGCCATGGACGACTCTAGCAGCCTGAGCGGGATGACGGACATGACTGATGACAGTGGGGCCCTCATCACCGAAGACTGCCCCAATGTCAAGCTGAACACAGGGGTGAGCTCTGGAAACAACGGCCAAAGGAAAATCAGTGTTTGGAAGGCAGTCTGGGGCAGCCAACATGGTTTTAGGCTGCAAGCAGAGGAGCATCGAGAGGTCCTGGCACATGAGGTGCATTTAATCAGGATCCTCAGAGGGCTGGAGCCCCCTCCCCTTTAAAAAGAAATCAATAGCCCCCCTTTTGCCCCCAGCTTTGAGGGTGATTTAGTCATGGTTTTTGGCACCTTCTGGTTTATATCCAGTTAGGTCACTTCTTGCTTTTTTTTTTTTTTTAAAAGACCTCGCTTGGGCCAGGTTGGGTTGTTGTTGTTGTTATAATATTCATATTTATTTATACCCCATCCACTTCATTTCTCTAAAAGGAGACCCAAAATGGCTAACGATTCTCAAAAAGCAATACAACTCAGTTAAAACTTTGTGACTTCCTCCACGACAGTGTGGGACATTTAAAAAAAAATTAAACTATTCCAAATGCTATTTTAAAATATATATTTTTAAAATTGGGGACAGGTGTGGATCGCTTCGTAGGCCATAAAAGATACTCTGTTAGTTGCATGTGACCATGGATTGCACTTTGCCTACCTATGCTTTTGTTGGAGTGTGCCTCTCAAAATAACACACTCAGAATGGCTAGTGACTGGGGGATTCTCTGAGTTATTGACCAAACAGATAATGTTTCCCAGTTCTATAATGGACCATGCTTCCCAGGTGTAAACTACATATTAAATCTGATACTTTGGGATCTAGTTTGCAGGAGCGGGAAATACTTCTGTCTAATGTTTTGGTGTGTGGTTACTAGTCAGCTGGGATGGACAAATCAGAGTGTGTATTTAAATTAAATCCATGAATAACACTATAAAGCAAAATTTTAAAAAATGTTCTCTTTCTGTCTCATTGTGTGGTACCTACTTTGAAAGTAGTTGATCTACTTTGTTTGGTGGCTGGCACTTTTAACCTTTCAGTGTGCCATTCTTCATCTTTTGTGCAGATTACAAAAACAAAGTGTATGCAGTTTAATAAACCTTTTCCATGTTTTTATGATAGACCCAATTAGGAAATGACATTCATAACCCAGGAAAACAAACTATGTTACATCATGTAATCAACTCCACAAAAGCCATACATGCAGATGTGGGGGACCAGCTATACCTACCATATATCCCTCTACCTACCCATCTATTTACCCATTCCATGAATGGAGATTCCTTTACTTATTCTGAATTTCTGGATGTTCTGCTTGTTCCTAGTTCTATCTCTGCTGCCAGCAGTTCTATGCCATGTTTATGAAGAGGGCTGTGTACAGTTGGCGCAACTGGAAGATGGTGGCAGCACAGTTTCTGGTGCCTCTCATTTTCACTGCCTTTGCCCTGGTTGTGGCCAAGACTTTCCCAGGGCCTCGGGACTCTTCCTTGCTGAAGCTGACCTTAAATCCATATGGCAGAACGACAGTGCCTTTCTCCACCTCGCAAGGATCCGTCTTGGCCCAGAGGCTGGCTGCACAGTATCAGGAGACAGTGGAAGCTCAGGATCAAGGGCCATTGGAGGTAGTGGGTGAGTACCATGATGGGCAGAGAAGTGAAACATGGAGGAAAACATTATTCACTATAAAGTGCAGACATGGGCAAACTTTGGCCCTCCAGGCATTTTGGACTTCAACTCCTACAATACCCAACATCCAGTAGGCTGTTAGGAATTGTGGGAGTTGAAGTCCAAAACAATTGGAGGACCGAAAATTGCCCATGCCTGGTCTAGCCCTTCCAATACGAGCCTTATCTTTTACTTGAACAAATGCAAGCTACTGTCTGAATAGAAACTCTGCATTGCATTACAGTTCTTAGAATCTTCTAATCAACACGACTAGTATATTTGAGCTGTTCAATTTTCGTGGCCCCAGATCTATTGAGACATGGGTTTCCACTTTTTGGAAAAATAAGAATTTTTGATTTAACATAGCTAATTTTCAGGCTGTTTGTTTCACAGTAAGTGACAAAGCAATGAATTGTGCATTTAAGGCCAATACTAGATAAGGACAGTAGTACAGCATCATCTGCATATAAGAGTAAATGAAAATGAGTAGAGTGGAATTTGGGACTAAGACCATTCACCAATGCTAAAGCCTGAGATAAATCATACAGAAATATGTTGAATATAGTAAGAACTAGTATGCAGCCCCGCTTGACCCCACGCAAAGCACGAATTCTAAAAGTTAGCTGGCCTTCTTCAGAGCATCTTATTTATTCATTCTACTTATTTACGACATTTCTATCCTACTTTTCTCACCCCGGAGGGAACTCAAGACGGCTTTACGTACAGACAACGATTTGATGCCTTAAAACACAATGTACACTTAAATAAATATTAAAATGAAATTAAGAAGTACATTAAAACAATTAAAACGTTTAAAAACAATACATTCAGAGTTAAACACATAATCCATGAGTGTAATTTGGGCCATTGCACATTGTTCCATGTCATTGTTCCATGTTTCCATGTCATTGTTCCATTGCACAAGTTCTCTAAGCGCTTGGTCACAAAGCCAATTTTCACTCTCTTGCGGAAGGTCAGGAGGGAGGGCGTTGATCTAATATCCCTGGGGAGGGAGTTCCACAGCCGAGAGGTCACCACTGAGAAGGCCCTGTCTCTTGTCTCCACCAATCACGCTTGTGAGGGAGGTGGGATCGAGAGCAGGGTCTCCCCAGATGATCTTAAACTCTGTGGTGGTTCATAGAGGGCGATACATTCAGATAGATAAGCTGGGCCAGAACTGTTTCGGGCTTTATAGGCTAAAGCCAGAACTTTGAATTGTGCTCGGTAGCAGATTGGCAGCTAGTGGAACTGACATAACAGGGGGGTTGTATGCTCCTGTGGTGAGTAATCTGACTGCCATCCGTTGGATCATTTGTAGCTTCCATACAATCTTCAAAGGCAGCCCCACGTAGAGCGTGTTGCAGTAGTCTATTTGAGATGTAACCAGTACATGGACTACCGTGGCCAGGTCTAACTTCCCGAGGTACGGGTGCGACTGGTGCAAAAGTTGGCAAACTGGCACACAATATGGCAAACAGTGTTGGTGTACACTTGTCTAATTAGAAAGAAAAGTCTGGGGTCAATATTGTGAGACTTCAACTTGTCCCACAACAGGTTTCTTGTTACAGAGTCATGGCTACTAGCATTGCTAGCAGTGGCATTTTTGGGCTGGCTATACCCTGCCATATAATATAGTTGTACGGTCAGTGTAGACTCATGTGTTACTGTTATTTTTTATACCCCACGTTTTTTGTCCACAAAGGAGACTCAAAGCAGCTTATGTTAAAAACATTTCAATACAATTTCAAATCTTAATGGCATCGGACTGCATTGTACTGACCATATAATGCTGTTTCAGATGGTATTATGTGGCAGTGTATATCCAACTGAAGAATCCCACAGCTAGCAATGTTGAAGGCATAGATGTCGAGATGCTGTTTTATTTGGATTCGTGACCTCATGGCAAATTTGACTTCACTTCCCTTTCCCTTCATCAACTGGCTGTCTTGGAAATTGAGTTTTTTTCTTCAAAAGAAACATTTCTAGGTGCAATCTCTGTCCTCCATGGTTGCAAATCATTGTCTGCAAAATGTCTGTAGCCATACTTTTGAGATCAGAAATGCATCTGATTGGCTAACAAAAACAGTTAGAAAGATGTAAATGAAGCTGGCGTTGTTGCAGGTAACCTGCAGGAATACCTGATTTCTCGGGCGTCGGACGAAGGTGGGGCGTTCAATGAGCACTACCTTGCGGCTGCTTCGTTTGATGAAACTGAGGACCAAATACAAGTCACCGCTCTCTTCAACAACCAGGCGTTCCATTCTTCTGCTGCTGCGCTGCTGCTGGCAGACAATGCCTTGCTGAAGCTGTTCGCTGGTCCAAATGCTTCCATCACTGTTGCTAACTTCCCACAGCCTCGCAACGTCACAGAGACAGCAAAGGATCAGCTCATGGAGTAAGTTTGGAATGATAACACTATGTAAAACAAAACTGAAAAATGTTCTGTTCCTGGTTTGAAAGTGTTATTCCTGTTTAATTGTGCGGTCCTTACTTTTGTAAGGAGAACTTTTGTAAGTAGTTGTTCTGCCCCAGAAACTTTGTTTTTGTGGCTGCCACAAACTATGTTGTTGAATTGGTTGAGACTGGATGATGAGACATTCATTGAAAAAATAGAGCAAAATGAGCTGCAAGATGTCCCTCCTGCAGAAACAATTTTTTTTGCAGTTTAATAAGCTTTTTTCCCCATGCTTTTATGATAGAATCAATTAGGAAATGAGATTTATAACCCAGGAACAAAAATGTGTTACATAGTGTAATGGGAAAATATGACTAAATTTTGGGATGACTGTGTTACCTTTTTATGTCCCATTAGAGGCCAGACAGGCTTTGCCATTGCAATCAACCTGCTCTATGGGATGGCTTCCTTGTCCAGCACCTTTGCCGTCCTGCTGGTCAGCGAGAGGGCCATCAAGGCCAAGCACGTCCAGTTTGTCAGCGGGGTCTATGTCGTCAACTTCTGGCTCTCAGCTCTCCTCTGGGACCTCATCAACTTCCTCACCCCATGCGTGCTCATGCTGGTGAGTCTGTGCCGTGTTCCTTAAATATGCCAAGCATCTGTGAAGTTAATGTGGTACTTGGAATGGACATTAGGACTTTGGAAGCATGGAGCTTATTACTAACTGTACTGATGAATTGCAGTTGAAGCTGTGGTGGACTTGGATTAGACTCTTCTGGGCTTGATGGAGTAATATAATCTCCTCCTCTAGGATAAGTCAGCATTTTGTGTCCTGAGATCAATCAATCAATCTTTAATATGGTCCAAAGACTCAATTTACTCAGCAGGGAAAGTGCACATTCATAAACCAATAAGATCACTTAAAAATAGGACAAGTGCAATGCTAAATGCATGTGAACAACAGTAAAAACACTGATTCTAATTCAGGAAGTTGTCTTATCTTGGCTGGCTACCTCAGAGAGAAACTTGGCAACAGAGTACTGGGGGATATTGTCACCTAGAAAAAAAGCTTTACATGGAATTGGGCTGATCTACCAGGTAGGTTGCTCAGTAGTGAGTTAATAATATGTAGCTGAGTCTGCTTGTAAGAACTGCAGGACAATAAGATGTGATACATACATTCAACATCTTGGTTATTACAAGAAGGGCTGAGTCTTACATTGTATGGGACTCCCTCCTGCAAATCTGCCTCAAAACACTTTGGATGGGAACATGTTGCACTTTGCCTTGGAGAATAGGCAGCAATATTTAGCCAAAGTCAAGTTCTTCCCAGGTAATCCTCAGAGCTTGAGGTGCTTGTCTGTTCTTAAGATGAAAAGCACACATCTGCATTTTAGATGGATTAGGAATCAGCTGGTTTTCCCTGTACTGGGCAGTAAGAGCACCTAAAGCTTCATAAAACTTATGTTCAACCATTTCAAAGCTCCCTGCTTGAGCAGTGATCGGCCTGATCGTCAGCATAGATGAAACTCTCTATCCCTTCAGACAGTGGCTGGTCATTTCTGTAAGTGACTTGCAGTGTCCTGGGTTGTAACTTCACCTTACGCTGTCCGATCCTGCAGGTGATTTTCCAAGCATTTGATGTGAAGGCTTTCACGCAGGATAGCCACCTTGTGGACGTGATGCAGGTGTTCCTCCTTTACGGCTGGGCCATCATCCCCCTCATGTACCTTTTCAGCTTCTTCTTCTCTGTTGCTTCCACGGCCTACACCCGCCTCACCATCTTCAACATCCTCTCAGGAACAGCCACGTTCCTAGCCGTTACCATCATGAGCATCCCAGGTAAGGGGCACACGCTTCCAAAACTTCCCTTTTTATGAACTGTGTATCAAATAATTACTGAGCAAAGTGAGGAATTCTAGGCACTACAATTCCCCCATCCAGATTATTTGTTTATTTATTTGCAACATGTATAGATTCATTATGTCCTGTTCCATCTCACCTATTATCCCAGAAGCACAGTGGACCCCTTGGCACTGGTGATTTCCTTCCCATAAAGCAATGACAATGCACACAACTAATGCAAAAGTTTGCATTTTTTAAGACCCAGCAACACACCCTAAATCTAAAAGAAGATAAATATCACAACCTAAGGCATTCCCTAAAGACCTGGAGTGCCTCCTACTCAAAAATTGTTCCAAATCAGAGGCCACTGCTTAATTCCCCATTTATTTATGGACAGGCATATAACATGGTTTAATTTCAATCAAATGAAATTCACACTTTAGCTCATTTTCACCAGCAAAATGGATGTCATAAATGCCCCATATGTACACCTACACTTTTTTTAAAGTTCCACCACAACAGTGCATCTGCACTTATGAATTAATGCATTTTGGCACCACATTAACCGTTATGGCACAGTTCTTGGGATTCCTGGGTGTTGTAGTTTGGTGAGTCATCAGTACTTTATGTGTAGAGAAGGCTAAAGATCTTGGGAAACTATGACTCACGAGATTCCATATAATTGAGCCACAGCAGCTACAGTGGTGCCAACATGCACAATGCCCCTGTCTTAAACAGTTCTACTCTCAGCTGCTACCTTCCAGTTCTCCTCCCTGTGTTTTGTCTTCTAGAACTCGGAATGGTGGATCTCTCCAAACTGCTGGATAAAATATTTTTGATCCTGCCCAACTATTGCTTGGGACAAAGCATCAGTGAATTCTACCAGAATTACGAGTTTATTCAGTTCTGCACCTCCTCCTTTGAGGCTGTCGTCATCTGCAGAGTGTTTAGTGAGTATTGATTGCATTCTGAACATAATGTTGATAGTAATTTTGTGCCCAAAACAACATTTGTGTACACTAAACTACCAAAGGAACAAAGGTGTGACTATCTTCTGTGGGGTATTTTGAAGTTCTGGGTCATGGAAACTAAATCTGTTGCGATATATGGCTTTCGTATTTTATATGAGATATGTTTTGGTGCATAACTTTTATATAAGTACATTTTAATACATGTATTTGTGGTGTTTATGCTGTGCTCATGTGTTTTAATTGTTCTGTAACCCGCCTCAAGGTGTGAGGAAAGGCAGGTAAGAAATAAAATTGTTGTTGTTTTCTAACATGATATCCAAAATATTTAAAAGTTAGAAACAGAGAGCTAGTTAACTTCTTAATATTGTTCTTTTTATAGCTATATTTGAACAGATTAACTTGGTTTTTTTCCACTGGAATGTGATCCAAATAGACTTGTGATGTTTTTCATCTGCGGTCATGTTGGATTTAGGAGGACTAAAACGATGTCGTCTGCAAACCTCTTCATGATGTGCTGATGGCCATTGGGTTTCATGCCTAGTCCATGAAGGTCAAGGGCACCGATATTTATCCTTCTTCTCCTCTTTTCTGCCCTGTCGTTCCAGATATTACTTACCAGACCAATTACTTTGCCTGGGAGAGCCCTGGGATCGGCAAATACCTGACAGCTATGGCATCGCAGGGTCTCGCCTTCCTCCTCCTCCTGTTCCTCATTGAGACCAACCTCCTTTGGAGACTGAGGAATATCCTCTGTGGAATGCATCGGAGGCGGAAATGGGTAAATAAATGGGACGTGGGTGCAAATAAGATCCTTTCTTTGCTGAAAGGCCTCATAAGCTATATGAACTTTGCACTCTAGGAATGAGCAATGCCTTTTTGCTCAAGGGCATTGCTGGTGCAAGACCCCAGTGCAAACATGCCAGCAGATGCCAGCAAGGATCATGCTGCTTCCAGAATCACAGACCTTGGACTCATCATAGAATCCTAGAGTTGAAAGAGACCCCGTGAGCCATCCAACCCAACCCCATTTTGCCAAGAAGCAGGAAAATCACATTCAAAGCACCCCTGACAGATGGCCCTCCAGCCTCTGCTTAAAAGCCTCCAAAGAAGGAGCCTCCACCACACTCCGTGGCAGAGAGTTCTACGACTGAACAGCTCTCACTGTTAGGAAGTTTGTCCTAATGTTCAGGTGGAATCTCCTTTCTTTCCTGTAGTTTGAAGCCATTGTTCGGCATTCTGGTCTCTGGGACACCAGAAAACAAGCTTGCTCCCTCCTCCCTGTGGCTTCCCCTCACCTCTTTGTACATGGGCCTCATCATGTCTCCTCTCAGCCTTCTCTTCTGCAGGCTAAACATGCTCAGCTCTTTCAGCCGTTCCTCATAGGGCTTGTTCGCCAGACCTTTGATCCTTTGAGTTACCCTCTTCTGGACACATTCCAGCTTAAAGTCAACATCTCCCTTCAATTGTGGTGCCCAGAATTAGACACAGTGTTATTCCAGGTGTGTTCTGACCAAGGCAGAATAGAATACAGGGGTAGCATGACTTCCCTGGATCTAGACCAGGCATGGGCAAACTTGGGCCCTCCAGGTGATTTGGACTTCAACTCGCACTATTCCTAACAGCTGGTAGGAATTGTGAGAGTTGGAGTCCAAAACATTTTGAGGGCCCAAGTTTGTCCATGCCCGATCTCAACACTATACTCCTATTTATGCAGGCCAATGATTTGCCCATCTTGGCTGGAATTCTTTGGCATCTCTATATACTCATTGTTTGTTTTCTCTTGGCATTTAAGGTGATGCTGCTGAATCGAGTACCTGTATTGCCAGAAGACCGGGATGTAGCAGACGAGAGGAAGAAGGTTTTAGAATCGCCAACTGCGTCGCTGTCGTCCTTGAATAGCCCTCTTGTCATCAAAGAACTGACCAAGGTGAATGGGCACTTCTTCCATGTTGCTTTTAAACCTGAAGCTGTGTTTAGCTAACATGCTTTTATTTAGTTTTAGCAGTCTTATGAATACATCTATTATTATTATTATTATTATTATTATTATTATTATTATTATTATTATCTGTACATAACATCACAGCACACATGGACATTAGGTCCAAGTTGTTGTTATTATTATTATTACAATTATTAAGTATAGCAGGATTATTATTATTATAGTATAATAGAGTTGGAAGAGACCACATGGGCCATCTAGTCCAACCCCCTGCCATGCAGGAAAAGCACAATCAAAGTATTCCTAGAGATGGCTATGGAGCTGCTTCTCCAGAGCAGCCAGCCAGGGTAGCCACTCCCTAATGCAGTGGTTGGTTGGCCCTTCCTTCCAGGTGTACAGCAGCAGGGATCTATGCCTGGCGGTGGACAGGCTCTCCCTGGCCGTCAACAAGGGCGAGTGCTTTGGCCTACTTGGCTTCAATGGGGCCGGGAAGACCACCACCTTCAAGATGCTAACTGGAGACGAGAGCATCACGTCAGGAGATGCCTATGTAGATGGACACAGCATTCTGGCCAACATCAAAAAGGTAAGTAGCGGTGCTACAGTTTTTGAACATTCCATCATTTCTAAAGTGACCATAAGTCATTATCCATGGCTTGTGAAATTTATTTCTAGATGTCTGGCTTCCTTTGGCAATTTTTTAAAATTCCTGTCATATGGAGAAATGAAAAATAAGATCTGTTTTTAGCATTACCATTTAAAAGAGAGGGAAATAAAGGGAAAACACTCACACAATTGTAATAGAATTGTAGTTCATCTTTTTGTATGTGTGTTAGTTACCTGCTTTAAATGGTAGCTTGAAAACCAGTTTGCTCGCCCCAGTGTTTTTCTGCATAATGGCAGACTGTAAAAGAAATGGAAATTCAGATGGACAACTTCCACCCATGCCTTAGCAGAATTATGACGAGGAAATTTAATAGATTAGGTATATGCATTCCATTTATTTCTAGGCTATGAAAAAATTGATCTTAGCTGCTAAATGCAGAGAAGCCTTACTGCTGAATAAATTCGCAAGACATTTACTAACTTACTGATACTTATGATTTTCTTATATTACAAAAAATACTGTCCCAAATACATGGTCAGATCTGCCCTTTCCAGTTTGGCTGCCCAGGTCTTGTTAATGCATGCCAGCTTTGCTGCTTCATTATTGATCAAATGATGGGTGTACAAAATGTTATTACCCAACCTAGAATTAAACACCAGTTGTTTAATTATAATCATTTTATTTTGATTATTGTCATGTTACTTACATTGTTGTAATCTGCTCTGAGTCCCCTTGGGGAAATGGAGCAGGGTATACATAGTTCATTATTACTATTACTATTATTATTATTATTATTAGGATCAGGACCACCCCAGCAGCAAGCATTAAGGATTTAATCATCTGGCTAGTAATAAGTAATTTACAGCCAGGGTGGGGTAGCTTAAAGAGCACAAGCTTCTCTGTTAGAGTTGTTGTTGACAGAGTATTGAGCTGTTGGAGATGGAGATTCTAAGTTTGAAGGACTAATGAAGAAGAGAAGAAGAGAAGCTAATACCATGGAGAAGGTATGAACTGATGGGGAATGTTGGAAAGAAGGACTAGAGAAGAGTCAAGAACATCAGTCAGATATAGATAAACAGTAGGCATGTGCAAAAAAATCGGAAAGCATCGTAAGTTGGATCAGTTATTATTTGTACTTACAATGCGATATCCGACGTGTATGCACAGAAATCAAAACTTACCCCATACTTTTTCATTTTAGTTTTGTATATCTCAATGTTCCCAATGTCGGTTTCATATTCAGAACAAGGAAGCAGAGCCATTGAGCCCAAAAGGCTGCCTGCCTGCCAGCCTGAAATTAATGGCCTTTCATCCGTGAAAAAAGGGAGCAGTGCACTTTGGGAACAGCATAGAAATCTGGGAAATGTACTTTGGGAAGGGGAATATCATTAGAAGAGTACACACCTTTCTTTTAGATATAAGCAATCAAAATCAGAAGTGTAATCTAGATTGGTACAAAGAGAGGAGTGTGGAAGATCTCAGTAAACAATAAGCTGACGGGAAATAACATGTAAAAAGCGATGAATGGAAAGAAATGATATTGAAGCAATATGGGTGAATTCTTAGAATATATAGTTGTCAAGGAAAAAGGTATAAAACCAAATCAATATACATTAGCATTTTGGAGAAGAGGTCACTATAAGAACTATTAATATTATGGATGAATACATTTATTTATTTATTTCGGGAATTTCTATGCTGCCTTTCTCCTGACAGACTCAAAGCGGCTCACAGCAATCATTAAAATAAACAAGGTGATATAAGACATCCATTAAAATAGACTATAAAACCAAAAACGTTACAAAGATGCTCCATCGATCATCTTATAAATAACTAAAATTCAATTAAACTAAAATACCTCTAAAATTTCTGGATATCCATAAAATGCAAGGACTCAATAAAATCAGTCAAAAGCTTTTTTTGAACAGGAATGTCTTCACTCCTTTCCTAAAGGACATAAGGGGGGAAGGGAGCTGATCTGTCCCCTGTGTGGTGGGTGCAGGTAGAGATTACCTGTATGAACATATATGAGGAAGAATTGATTTATTATATGTTTTTATTAATGTTAATTCATTTGTATAATTTATTTTATAAATAAAAATGTAATGTTTGTTTGTGGGATTAACATAACTCAAAAACCACTTGGCGAATTAACACCAAATTTGGACACAATACACCTGTCAGACCAACAACTGACCATCACTCATAAAAACACTGAAAAACACAGCAGAAGAGACTTTAAAAGCCAACCCCCCCCCCCCAGCTGTGGCAGAGGACAGCTAGTTAGGAATGAAAAGAAAAAATATGTAATCTGAGCTGTAGCTCAGTGTCAGTATTCCATTCAAATGAAATACATATTCATTTTTAAATTCTTCAGCTAGTCTGTGTTGTACATATAAGCAGATACTTTTTGCAGAATTTATTCAGCATTTTTCAGGCTAGGCAGGGAGAGAAAGCGATGCCAGCATCTCCTACCCAAGGTAGCTGCATCACTTGGCTTGACAGTAGCGCCAGCCCAGGACAACATTGCTGTTTGCTTTGATGGAAGTGGAACACGTCCAATAAGGGGCTGGTGGGTGGGCTTGCTCTGCTCTTTCCTTGATCTGTCTCTTGCCTGCAGGTCCAGCGGCGCATTGGCTACTGCCCGCAGTTCGATGCCCTCTTGGACCACATGACAGGGAGAGAGACCCTGAGCATGTATGCCCGGCTGCGGGGCATCCCGGAGCGCTACATCGGCAACTGTGTGGAGAACATGCTCCGAGGGTTGCTGCTGGAGCCCCACGCAAACAAGCTTGTCAGGACGTACAGGTGAATGGCTGCTGAACAAACCCCAATCCCCTGACCTTGAGCCGCCACATTGCCACTGCTCTGTATTAGGCTTGTGCAATCTGGGTGAACCACAATCTATTACTGTGTTCCGGATTTCAGTGGGGGTCCTGATCTATTTTTCAGGAGCTCCTGTATTTGGGAGGATGGAAATCTGTTTTCGATCTGGGAAGCCAAAACATCCATTTTCTATCCAGCCTATTGGCGGCAGGGAGGGGGGACTTCCCACAGGCTCTCCTTCCCATCATTTTCGGCATCGTGTCTGGATGATTGAATGAAAGATTGAGACTTTATTTCTATCCCACACTATCTCCCCAGTGGAAACTCAAGGTGGCTTACAGCATATAGAGAGGCAAACATTCAATGCAGTATAAATGTCCTTAAACCCTTCATTAAGAACTGGATTAAATACATCAGAGTTAAGATACTATTCTTTCTGTGATCCTTTCCCTTCTGTCTGTAGAGGAGACCAGGGTTTAATGCTACATTAAAGCTGTTTCTACTCTAGAGATAGGAGCCGCAGGTGCCCGCTCTCTTCCTGAAGCAGGCAGTTTACCAAGGCATTTTAAAAGGGCTTCCCATTTCCCAGGGAAGGAAGAGGGATCGACCTGGAGGTTTCCTACCCTGGGCTTCCTTTAAAAAGCCCGTTCTTCTCTCTTGATTTGGAGGCTCTGCAGTGGTGCCTCCCTCCCTCCCTGCACTCCACGTGTAACCAAAACCAGCCAGTTTTTAACAGCCACTGTTATGTTGCGGCTGGTAAAAAAATGGTGGCAGAGCCCATGCCATTACGGGCTTCCGAACAAGCCAAAGGCAGATGTCCAAAACGAAGACTATTCTGTACAAGTATAACGCAGCTCCCTTTCTTTTCTCTACTCAGGAGATGATTCTTTTTATTTTGAAGATAATTTAAAAGATTCTCTCTTTTTTATTCTTCAATATTTTTTACTCATGCATTGTAACCTTAATTGTTTGCATGTGTTGTACATGTATCATCTGCTTTCATTCAACGGGCTGTTATTGACATCTTTTATTTTTAAAAAAATAATTAATTTTTTAAAATATAAAAGCCACCTGTGTTGTCCACCCCTCTTCCCTCCCTCCGACCATATATTTATTCTATACTATTCTCTTTAACTATGTGCACAGTTTTTGTTATTTCTGTAAGATGCTTGCCTTGGCTCCCCCTTTTTAAAGCCATCCCATATATGTCATCCATTTGTTCTTTATTTCTTTTATTTTATGTTCTTGCATATCATCCCCCCCATTACACTTGTTCTAATTTGAAATTGGATGTGATCATATAGAGAACTATTCCAATTTTATATGGCTGTTGCCAAGTTTCTCTCTGAGGTAGCCAGGATAAGATTGAGGCTGAAACTTGCCGTGTCTCTGTTTGCAGTGTTCTTACCTTTGTTCATATGCATCTTGTCCTGCATTTAATTGGTCTTATCTGTTTATGAAACCATTGGATTTGTGCACCTTGTGCCACTTAACAAATTGGGTCTTCGGACTATAATAAAGTTTTTGATTTATTGGATTGATATTTGGTTCAAACCTGTGTATGCTGTTGCTGGATAAGTCAGAGGTTGAAAGCATTGTTGTATAAGTTGGAGATTGAAAACTGGTCAGTCAAACATTCTTGATGGATCTGCTCCATGAAAGAAGCCTTAGCCCCAAGACCTGAGCAGGACTGTTGAGTATAGGGTGACCTGGAGTTTTCTCCTTTGTGGGGTCTTCATACATTAGAGTCAAAAAGAGAGCACTTGGAAGGAAGACTTAGTTTTGTGGCTGAAAGTACAGTTGACACAGTTCCATCACTGATGTCAGATTCCACACTATGCTCTTGTAACACTGCTTTTGTCATTATAATCCCTGTGGCTCCATGAGGAATGAGGAAGAACATAGGAAAACTTCCCAATAGTGAAACCACGAGAAAATAAATGTGGCAACCGGAGACCTGATCACATTAAGAAAGACACAGTTTCTTGAGACAGTTTGATAATTATTTTGAATGGGTCCCATCACACGACGTTCCATTAGGATGCCCCATCCTGTCAGTATTCTGTCAGGCCCCATTTGCAAAGGGTCACAGAAACCGAGGATTTGCACATGGAATGCTAATCATGTTTTTTTGAAATGCTGCGGATTCTTCCATTGCTGAAGCTCTGCTTTTGTATGCGATAGGAAAATCTGTATGCACCCCATCAGCAACAATACTTTTTAAAAAGTAATTGAGTGATGTTTTGAATTGATTGGGAGGAGCCAGCCTTCTGTGTTGCGAGGAGTCTAAATGCAGTGTTTTCAAATCATAAGAATCGTAATAATCAGGTGTGATGAGGAAGGAGAGGACGCATCCCGTCTCAATAACAGGATGCATCCAGTCCTAAAAAAATATGGGATGGAGACTGATATAAATGGGTTATATCACAATGTGATAAAGTTCCAAGGAACGCACTAGGTTGGGGTTGGGCCCCAGGGACTGAGCTTCCTACTCCTGGTTTACACTAGTTGTCAGTGGCATTCAAACAGATGTCTCTCCAGCCTTACATGATGAGACCCTCTGCATGAAAAGCCCCTTGGGTGAGAGTGCTTTGGGGCTCCGTTCCAGCCCAACAGCCATTCTCAAGGCTGCCACGTTTGTCTCCGCAGCGGGGGCAACAAGCGGAAGCTGAGTGCCGGCATTGCACTGATCGGCGGCCCGCCTGTCATCTTCCTGGATGAGCCATCAACCGGTATGGACCCTGTGGCCAGGCGCCTGCTGTGGGATGCGGTGGCCAGGACGCGGGAGTGTGGCAAGTCTATCATCATCACCTCTCACAGGTGGGCTCTGTTTTCCTGCTAGTTGGCCTCTGCTGGCAGGTTGAAAGGACAGCATATAAACGGGGAAGTGAGGCTCTCTCGCGTCATTCAGTTATATCCCGAAAAACGAGTGGCTTCTTTAAACAGAGACTCAGGGAATCTCAGAGTAGGAAGAGGGACCACAAGGTCCACCTAGTCCAACCCCTTGCCCTGGAGGAATGCAGAACTAAAGCACTCCTAAAAGATGCCTGTCCAATCTCTGCTTCAAGGGCCTCCCAAGAGAGCAAGGCAGTCCGTTCCACTATCAGGCAGCTCTTGCTTAGGTGCAATTCTTTTCTTGTCATTTGAATCCATTGGTTCCATTAGGATGCCTAGATGCTCAGGCAACATCATACTAAAAGCTCAGGTGATGTAGATACACATTTAATGACATATTTTACACACATCATAGAGACCATCTGTTCTGCTGAGAGAGCCTGGACTTCCTATCCAAAGCACATTTGCCTGTTCTGTTCACAACATAGAGTTCTCAGAAATGGGGGAGGCTACCCAGGAACAGACTTTGGGAAAGTTACTTTTTTGGACTTCCAGTTACCACACTGAATTGGAATTGCTAGGATCTTTAGTTCTGCCAAAGTAATTCTGTCCAAAAGTAGATCTGTCTTTTCCAAGCACTGTCCAAAAACAGCTTTCTTCTCTGCCTTGTAGCCAAAAAGGAGGATAAGCTGTAATAATAATAAAACTAATAAAACTTTATTTATATCCCGCCACCAACTTCACGAAAGGGCTCGGGGCAGCTAACATGAGGCCAAGCCCAAATAATTACAAGAAAGCAAAGTACATACAAAACAGATGATAACATCAAATAAAAATGCTTAACAATAACATAGTAATGCCATAAAATAATGTCAACAATGTAATAAAAACAAAGTATAAAATGCTAAAAAAATTAAACAAGGGCGAGACTCAGAGCTGTACTCTGAGCACTTCCAAAGTGCTGTTCCTGCTTAGCTGCCAGGAATAATCTGGTTGGCTGAAAATAGAGATGTTTTCCTGTCGTCATTGACATGTTTTGCTTCTGTAGCGCCCGAGGCCACTGCTTTCCCTTGTCGGGTGGGTGATTTGATGTCAGTTTGGCCTTGTGTTTTGTTCCACAGCATGGAGGAGTGTGAGGCCCTGTGCACCCGGCTTGCCATCATGGTCAATGGGCAGTTCAAATGCCTGGGCAGTCCCCAGCACCTCAAGAGCAAATTTGGCAGCGGGTACACGCTCCTGGCCAAAACCCACAGTGATGAAGAAGACAACCTGCAGGCCTTCAAAACGTTTGTGGAGAAAACCTTCCCAGGTACGTTGTGCAGAAGGGCAGCCAAGGCAAACATCCTATACGGGGGGTCTGCTCCTGCTGCTTAATAGATTAGTAATTTGTTTCGGAGATTCAGGTGGCGCCCACTCCATTTTGTAAGATTTGGAGGGATCCCATTTTGTTTCGTAATCCGAATCTCCCAAACTTCATAATTGTTTTGTTAAGATTTGTTCCATTAGTGGCAATGGGGAATATTTCAAGGCTTGTTTCTCTGTCATTTTTATGGCTATCAGGATGAAACTCGGCACAATTTTAAGCAACATTTATGACTTTAAGCCTGCCAAGTTTCAGAGCGTTTTGATCATCCACCGATTTTTAGGAGATATTTAAAGTTTTTACAAATAGATATATTTAAAAACCCTTCAAATCACATCAGCTCCCTTGTCCCCTCCCACCCAGGCAATTACAGAGTCTGTTATGTTGGGGAAAAAACACACATCTTGAAATGCACTAAAACAACAAATCTTTACTAATTTGTATTTCATAATGCCTTGGAAGGGTTCTGCTCCCATTAGCAAATCAGAGATCTGTATTAATAAATATCAGAATTCCAAAATGGACCTCCAAAGATTTGCACAGTCCTACTGCTTACCAGTAGGGGAGGGAGGGAGGCGGTTCATTCCCATTCTGGGAGAAAAGCAGAATGTAAACCCAATAAATAAACCAAACAAGGAAGCGGTTGATCTCCGTTCAGCACTGGAAAAAAATCAGAATGTGCCATCCTTTACTTTGGAGAAGTTTGGGATGGAATGCACAGGGCGAATGAATAATCCTTTGGTCCATTTAAGAAAGACACACACATGTGTTAGCCAGCAACACAGGTCACGAACAGGAGGAGAATCCAAATGGTTAGGGAAGAAAACCTTGTCTGTCCCCCGCTTTTTCCATATTGGTCAGCCAAGTGTCTCTGCTCTCTTGCCTCCAGTGAGTTCAAGTGCTAAAGATAACTCTCCTCTTCCTCCTCCCAATGTTATTTTTGCAATAGATGGATAGATGTTAGCCTCCTTGGGTCCCCATAGGGAGAAAGTTGGGATACAAATAAAGATAACAACAGCAGCAGCAGCAGCCCTGGGAGGAGATTAGTCCAAGAGAGGCCAGCTCAATGACAAAGACTGAGTTTCAAATTGACCCCATGTCTTTCAAATCCAAGCCCAATGTTTCGTCTCAAAGGCAGGCAAGACCCAGCAGCCCATTGTCTTTCTCCCAGGACTGCCATGCCAACGCCAAACTTTCAGCTTGATAAAACAACTTGGGACCTTGAGACAAAATGAAATACGTTGGGATTCTTCGGTTTGATTTTTCTCCCAGTGGCAGGTGTATCTTGGGGGCCACGTGGCCACAGAAATAGAGCAAGTTCTCCACTAAAGAACTAAGTCCTAGGAGTTGTCATTTGGAGAGACACCAGCCCTCCTTGGCAGAGAAGACTGGAGGCCCTGCAAAACTCCCAGGATTCTATGCCATTGAGCCATGGCAGGGAATGTGGAGCCAGAGTGTGTTAATTCTACTGTGTAAATACACCCTCTGTTTCAAATGCTCAGCACTGCGTTGGCCCTTGTGGGTGTTTGAAGTGCTCCCCAATCCATACGATAAGAAGTTATCCAGTAGTATCCTGATCTCCTGTCCTGAAGAATGGAAGGCCCAAGCTGAATGAATGCATGAATAAATGTATTATGTTCAACAGATCAGATAAACAAGCAGAACCAAACAAATAATATTAATAACAAGATTATAGACAAATAGATATAATTAAACAGAGGTAAAACTTCCCTTAAGTTTGTGGTGACCCTTTTTGCCGACAAGTGAACGCTATGGCCCAAAAGCCGGCTGCTTTGAATGTTGCCATTGGATTCTGATCTGCCAGCAAATAGTATTTGTAAAACTCCTCAGTTCTTCCAGGGATGCTTTGTAGAACCGGATGAATCTCGAGACAGGCCCAAGCTGAGATAGGCTTCTGCATGAGGGAAAACACATCTTCACATTTGGGTATCCTTAGCTGCTTTCGGAGAACCTTTTGCACTTCACTGGGAAACTCTTTTCTTCTCCTCTTCCAGGGAGCGTCCTAAAACATGAGCACCAAGGCATGGTCCATTATCACATCACCAATAAGAACCTCAGTTGGGCACAGGTAAGTCCTGCAAGGAAGTGTGAGCAACAGGGAGAGTTATGTATGTAGATAACGGGGCTGGCTCTACCATTGGGAAGAGTACATACAGTATTGGCTTTAGGTGCAGTTACAGGGAAGGAGGCAATGGCATCGATCCTCGGCTGTTGTTCTGAAGAAGAGAAGGATGTCCTGTCGCTGGTGCTGACATTACATTCATCTCTCTGTTGTCTCTGTGGCCAGCTTTGGATCTATAGGATGAGGAGTGCGTGGCCCTCCAAATGTCTCACTTTTGGCTAGGGACGGTACATGTTAAAACCCACAAACATTACAAGTATCATATTACTCGTCCCAGGAGTAAATAACACTTGCCAATCCACATTTAGGTGCCTCGAACATTAGCCTGCTGATTACAAAAATGGCACCGGTTTCCCCCCCCCCCCCCTCTGGTCTAGTTCTTGAGATACAGAACATAATGCCGTCTACCAGAGGTCATCTGTTTGCCCATAGAAAATGATATGATAGCCATATCTCAGAAACTAAAACTGATGCGGTCTGTCCAATGCAGTTTTCTGAATTAGTGCCCCCAAATAATCCCAGCAACAAACCTAAACACCAAGAAACATTCTACAGGCAGTCCCCAAGTTACAAACATAAATGACTTACAAATGACTTCTAGTTAAGAACGGGGCTGAGACAACAAAAAGTGAGAGGGGTCTTATATATTGTTAGTAATACATACACACACATACATATACACTGGCAGTCCCTGAGTTACAAACATCTGACTTACAGATTCTCCTAGTGAGGGGAATCTCTCTCTCTCAGAAGAAAGGAAAATCCACTCCTGGAAGAGTTAATATCATGGGAAAATGGGGAAAAGAGGTCTCAGGTGAAGCTTTGTCCCAATTCTTTGTTTCCACAACAAGACAAATTTTCCAAAATCCAATTCTCACAGGGAGAGAAAGTGAAGTGAAATCTTCTGAATTGGGGCACAGATAGCAAAGGCTTAACAAGATATGCTATCCAATACACATATACATGCGTGCACACACATGTAGGCTGGAGTTACACTTTTAAAAATGTCCCTGTTCCAACTTCCATACAAATTCAACTTAAGAACAAACCTGCAGAACCTATTCTGTTTGCCACTTGGGGACTGCCTGGATTTTCTTAGGCTGTGTCATACTTAAGAATTACTTTGGGGGGAACTGGGACGAAGACCAGAGAAGAGCAAATATGCATTTTATTCCCCCCAGAAATGTTGAGACATTTTGCTGGATTGGGATTCCTTCCTTCTCCCTCCATCTTCTCCTCTCCTCCCTCCCAGGTGTTTGGGGCTTTGGAAAAAGCCAAAGAGAAGTACTGTGTGGAGGATTATTCCGTCAGCCAAATCTCCTTGGAGCAAGTCTTCATGAGCTTTACGCGCTTCCAGCACTACACAGAGGATCGAGGGAAATGAGCCGCAAGGGCCCCTCTCTCCTCTGACTCCGCGGTTTGAACCCGCTGCCTATATATATAGTATACATAGAGACAGTAATTTATATCTCAACTACGTCTTTAACCATGCATCCAAGGGTCGTGGTGCAAGAGTGTGCAGGGGCGTGCCTGTCTGTCCGTGTGTCCATTTGCACGTGCAAGGACGAATGAAGACCTCCTTCTCGAATCAGCACTGGACAACTGACATCTTTCGCTCCGTTTTCACACTTAGCAAGTGGAGACGGTGCTCCATTGCGGCCCAGGTATGACTGGACATCGAGATAAGAGCTTTCCGGCGCTTCCACTGGATTGGTGTCGGCATCATTGACCCTTGCATGCCCCGTGTATGGGGCGCTGGCAACGCACATATCCATATGGCTGCGACTCGTGTCTGTATGTACAAAATCCCTGTGGCATATCTGTGTGAATGAGCTCAGTCGTCCTCTGTTCACTTCCGAAGATGCAAGGGGAAGGATCAAAGCAGTGCGGAACCAACCACATCTCCCAGTCTGGGCTGCATCACTTCCAGGGGATTGGATGTTGCGGACTGGGGAGGGATGCCTTTTGCTGTGGGGAGACTGGCCATGCTGCTGCCCAGAGAGGTGGAATAGCAGAGGGACCATTCCTGGAGGAGATATACTCTGCATCTGCATATTTCTACGTCCATTTTCCTCTTGATTAAGAGGCCGCGGGCAAGGTTCAGTCACGTTGCCATTCCAAAATAGCTGCTGAGGTTTAGACCGAGGCTTCCCGAACTTTGCTCTGGCAAAAAATTTGAAGTTCAGCTCTCCTGATTCCCAGACAGTATAAGTTCCGAAAAAAGAACAACATTTAAGATAACAACAACAACACTTTATTTATATTCTGTTCTCCTCCTCAAGGGGACTCAGAGCGGATTACAACATATAAACAATCACAGGCAAACATTCAATGCCTTGTTCCAGATGAGAATACACAAATACACAGACAAAGGCAAAGGTTTCTCCTTTCATTTCTGGCTCTGGTATGCTGCACATCCCGTTTTGAGTCCCAACTCCTTAGAGGAGACTCATGAAATCAATAGGGTTTTTCAGTATGTCGGCTGTGCATCCAGCAGGGACCTGTCCATTGAAAAGGCATTTCCGTCTTCTTTCTGGTTGACTTGTGTTTTTAAGAAAGGAAGGCAGTGAAATAACTTGCTTTCCACATCTTTGTTGGTTTTCTATTTAATTTTATTTTTAAGCCTATGGTCCTTGTTATCTCTTTTCAAAAAAGGATGATGTTGAAATTGTCCAAAGGAAAAGCTTGGCCTATTTTACTAGTGATGACATGCTGAACTTGTGCATCTCTGAGGCTTAGTAGGATGAAACCTTGGATCCCAGAGCATCCGCTTGCCGCTGCTGAGGTACGGGTTGGTCCAATCTGTCATGACAGTTACTCCTAGGAGTACATTTGCACACCTTTTTGGTTACTAAAATGACAAGTGAAGATAGTAAGGAAATGCGTGGAGGAGAGGATTCAAGACCAGAAAAGGGAGAGGAGGGTGCTTCATGTTATCATTGAATTGTGATGAACACGGCTGCCCTTGAGAGTGATGATGCCTTTCCTTGGAGGATAAACAAACCCATGGTCACTCATCCAGGGCCATTGGTCCCGAAGGCTATTTTCAACCTCCATGTTCAGAGGCAGAGTTGCTTTCACCTGCTTGCATTCTTAGAAGTAACCCAACTATGCATCTCTTAATGGTTCTTCTTTGAGTCCCCCTTGGGCGCCTCTCTGCCTGTGCATTGCGAATATCATTTGCTTTCCCCAGTCCTTTATGGGTGGGTCTGTGGCACTTTAAACTCTGCGGTAGGAGTCAAGCATGCAGTATCTTTTCATCAAGACCAGACCCTCCAGCTTTCGAGGGAGACAGTATTGAACAGGTTTCTTTGACCAAACCTTCATCATCAGTTCTATAAAGAACATTGATTAATGGCTGTTCCTTCCATCAGCTTTTCGCTTTGTCTTCCTTTCCAGTTTGTGTCTGTTGCAATTGTCACATTCTGTCTAGTTGCATTCCTTTAATTTATTTGGGGAGACTTATCAGAATGTCCTGCTTCGGCTCTCCTTGAAACGAAACTCCCATTTTGGGGTCTGACCTCTCTCATGTCCTGCTGACCTGGAAACCTTGCACATTGTTTCAAAGCAGCGGCATTGCCTTATTAGTCCTTTCCACCAATATAAGTCTTCTTAGCTCTTGGTGGAAATCCCAGCCCAACAAATGACCTCCTTTTGGAGACAATAGCCAGGAGCTGAAGTCAGTTGGATTGCATGGCTCCGCCTCTTGCGGCATTTCATTTGACACACATCCTATGGTGGGATGGAGCTTTTTCTTCTTCCAGTCTTTGTTTTACTACATGTTTTAAAAAGGATGGGGAAACTAAGGCCCTCCAGATGCTCACACTTCTAGGAAACTGTTCAAAACATCTGGACAGCAAAATGTCCCTTACCCTTCTGTGAAACTGCAGCTGCTCCTCTCCCCAACACTTCCTTACTTGTCCATTTTTATCAGTGATTTTTAAACTTCCAGGGATTTACCCTGTAAGTAATTCTCCCATTTCTGCAGAAAGTGAGGCTTCAATGGCCCTTCCCTCCCTTGCGTCAGCTCAAAGGGCATCTTCTCAGGTGCAAAGGGTTGTCTGCAATGTTTTGTGGCCAGGATGGGAACTGTGGGCAAGATCCTACATGACTTCAAACATCATGTGGATGTCTGCTCTTGCATTATGCTTCCACTGCACAACCCCTGGAATGGATGGGAACATAATGCCACACGTTCATATGGGTAGTATTTGCTCATTAAGTGAAAGTTGAAGCGCAACTGCATCGCACTGCGTGTAGCTGGATACAACCAGCAGCATTGTCCACACGATTTGCCCAGCATGTGTAGCACAATGTACGCCTGCATCATGTCATCAACAAGGTGCTAGCCCAGGTGGCAGACTGCAACTCCCAGCATCCAGCTGTGCTGGCAAGGGCTGAGGGGACTTGCAGTCCAATGACATCTGGAAAGGCATGTGTCCCCATCCCTGGCGGAAAGCACCACTTGGAGTGTCCCAAACATGTAAATGGTTGGTGTTATTATTTTTGTACCTTTCCTTTGATTATACCAAATACCGTCCTCTTGCACAAATCACTGCTATTTTGCACAGTGTGTGTGCGTATATCTCTGTGTGTCTGTATTTGTATGAATGCATCCAAACATTCTCTAACATTTCTTAGGTCTGTCTCTGCACCAACACCTTGCCCCAAACAGGATTATGTAGTGACTCTTTTCATTCGGATGACAAGCAGAAGCTAAACGCCCGTCCTTTGCTCCTCTTGGACACCAAGCCCCACTTGTGAAAGGTCTTCTAATCTGCAAGCCCCTGTGTGAGATTTGCCCCATATTTCACTTCCAAGTTTTGTTCCTGTTTTATGGGGAGGAGGTTTGTGTTTTTGTGTTTTTAAAGACTAGGAAGACACAGGCTGGGGACCAAGGGACAGGTACAAGGCTCGTCCGTGACTCAGACCAATACGTCGGTGTACCCGTCCACTCTTTGGTGGCTCTTATGTAATGCATTGGCTGTCATGGTTACATTCCGCCCCATCTCCAAAAAATAAACTGAATTTTCAAAGTGGTGTCTCTTCTTCTTTCCACGGTCTTTGTTCACCAAGGTTTTTTAATGCACTGAGCAAATTGCAAATACATTGTGTATATATCTGGCATCCCTTTGCTACCCACAGCTGAAATGTTTAGGAAGTTCTCATCCAAGTCAAACTTGGGAGGATGCAACTTTCAAGGAAGCTCGTTATGGGGGCAAATGTTCCCATTGTTACAGATCCTATGTAACACTGCTGAAGAATAAAGCTTTCTGTGAAACATTAGTAAAGGAATGGGTGCCAACCTGGGCAAATCTGGGAAGCCACTCCCTTTAACTGGTAAACATTAGTATTGGAAGGGGCAAAGAAGCACGCTGCTATCCAATGAGACAAAGATATTGACCAAGGAAGTACTAAACGCCTTTCGTGTAACAAGTACAGTTGTTCTTATGCTGCCATAACTTCCAGTTACATGATTTGTTTCTACGCAAGGTAAGGGGATGTCTTCCTGGGTGCTCATCCTCTGTGCTTTTGCCAAAATCAACCATCTCAGAAATGGCAAGGCAGCTTCACATAACCTTTCATCACACGAGAGAAAAAATCCACTTAAAATCTGCTTTCTGCCTCTTGCAGAATTTTATAGTTTGTAGTTTAGTGAGGCTGTTAAAGTCTCCTCCCTAAACTACAAACCCCAGAATTCTGCAGGAGGCAGAAACTGGATTTTAAGTGGATTAATTCCCTAGTGTGGTGAGGCCCTTAATGCTGTCAAAAGCCAAATGTACATCCTGCAATGTCAGTCTTTGAAACATGGAGGTTTGCACATTACATTCAACCTTTTGGATTTGCATGTTAAACTTTAAAACGCCATCCGCTCTTGAACGTTTTGGTGGCTGGGGCTGTGTTTTGATCCGAAATGGATGCCATGCAAGATCTGCTTCTGAAAAACATGTGCCTTCATAAATAACGTCATGTGTCAACATTTGAAACATTTTCAGTTCCTGGTTTGAAAGTTATTTTCTTTTTAATTTGGTGCTCCTTACTTTGAAAGTAGTTAATCTACCCCAGAAACTTTTGTGGCACAAATTGGGTTGAATTGAAAAACTAGACCAAAATCTGCTATTGCAAGATGTCCTTCCCGCTGAAACAATAATAAACTTTTCCCATGTTTTTATACTAGAACCAATTAGGAAATGACATTGATAACCCAGGAACAAAAATTGTGTTATGGAATGTAATGTAGCAATCGGCCTTTGCCAAATTAATGGCCATATTTGAAACCTCAAGGAAATAGATGGCAGTTGTTTGGAGTCATAGAATCCTAGATTTGGAAGCAACCACAAAGGCCATCCAGGAAGACACAATCAAAGCACTCCCAACAGATAGCCATCCAGCCCCTGTTTAAAACTCCCCAGAGGAAACTCCAGGGAAGCCTATTCTCCTGCTGAATAGCTCTTACTGTCAGGAAGTTCTTCCTAATGTTTAGGTAGAACCTCCATTGTATCAGTCTTGAAAGTAGCAGAAAATGAGCCTTGCCCCTTCCTCCTTGATGTGACCTCCTTTCCAATATTTAAATATGGCTGTCATGCTCCCTCCTCTCTCAGCCTTCTTTTAAGCTAAACATACCCATCGCTCTGAAGTTATGCTATCTCACCAGAGTCTTGGAAGTGTGTCTGACAGTTTCAGTCACTGAATAGATCATACAGCTAAACCTACCTTGAAAGCCCTGCAACCAATTCCAAGGTTGTTGGAGAGCAAGAGGGATCAGCATCAATGTATTTGGCTGTTTTCCTTTAGCTGGATGCAGTGCACGGATATCAACTGCAGGGACATGGCACCGATGCTTGTTGTATCACAACCAGCGAAAGGAAAATAGCTCCATGTGTCGCCACTGGCCCCTTCGTTTAGATGGGACTGTGTGGCTGAGAAGGTAGACTGGATAGACAGCAGTGGGAAGTGTTCTGTATTTACTCGAATCTAATGCTCACCTTTTTTGGCTAAATGGCCTTGCCAAAATTTGGGTGCATATTGGATTTATGTAATGGGGTAATCTTAGTGTTGAGCCAAAGCCAAAGGAGAAGCTACTTTGAGGGACATGATCTCTAATTTGCAATGGCTCAATGCAATGGGATCCTGGAATTTTTAGTTTGGTGAGGCATCAGCATTCTTTGGCAGCCCCCATGACCCCACAACATTGAGCCAGGGCAGTTAAAGTGGATCCATTCTACAGCATAGATCAGACATGGGCAAACATCCCTCCGGGTGTTTTGGACTACAACTCCCACAATTCCTAACACCCTACTGAAGTTTGCCCATGCCTGGTATAGATGCATTCCAATGTTTTCTTTTCCATTGTTGGAATCTTTGGTGTGCCAATTATTTTGTTTTCAAAGAAGGAATTTTAAGCAGGCAGCTGCTGTAGTGCGCACCTTTTTTGGCCAATGAGAAAAAGGGTACTTTTTGCAGCTGGGCATTACATTCCCCAGCAAATACTTTTTGTGCCTTCGGGGTTTTGGAAATTGAGGTATGCATTTGATTCGAGTCAATACAGCTAGCTATGAATTACATGGGGGTGACAAAGTAGCTCTTAGGTGCCCAATCACACATTCTGTGGGCATAGCTGGTCAAAGGAAATGAGAGCTGTGACAGGCAACCTATGGCACCCAGGCACCACAATTCTTCCTCTGTTTTACATTATCTTGGGGCAGCATAGCTCTGAATAGCAAGAGCGTTGTTAATAAGTTCTTGGCCAAAATCTGGAAATGCAGAAAAGACACTGCATGCCAGCACTCAGCTTTGCTAGGACCTGGGCGCCAAAAGCTGCCAAGTTTCGCAAAGCTTAGCAACATGGAGACAAAAACTCAGCTCCACTATGGCTGCATAACATTCAAAGCAAGGAAGTGTGGAGACTGGCACAGAGGCCTGAGCCCAGTCCGCAGAAGGACATCTGGCACCCATTTGCCTCTCATGTCTGTTTCCTTCTCCTCATGAGATTCAACCATCTATAGTCGGAACTACTGAACACTGTACCAGCCATTGTAAGCCCTTCTGTATGTATTGAGCTGTATCTTCCATCATCCAGGCAGCATGGCCAATGGTGATGGGACCTGGGGTGGGGGTTGTAGTATAACCTACCTAGAGAATGTTGGGTTGGGACAGCTTGCACCAAAGCCTGGATAGTATGCATCTTGAACCATATACAGATGGCACCACTTCCGATGCTGCTTTGGTGAAGCACTCTCTTCTCAGTTCTACAAATCACACCCTTTTCCAAATCCAGAGCATTGCAATATGTTCAACTATTGCAATACTCTGGATTTTGACCTGCGTTGGCACCAGCAACAACACACAACAGGGGAAGGAAATGCTGCCCATCCACATGATTTTGGCTAACAACTCCCATCAGTCACTGTCAGAATAATCGATAGGTTTGGGGACTTTGGAACTATAATGCCTGAACTGCATTATAAGATCAGTACAGACGCATATAATGCAGACTGAATTGCACCGAACTGTTTTGTGTGTGTGTCAGGAGCAACTTGAGATTCTGCAAGTCACTTCTGGTGTGAGAGTATTGGCCGTCTGCAAGGACGTTGCCCAGGGGATGCACGGATGTTTTGATGTTTTACCATCCTTGTGGGAGGCTTCTCTCATGCCCCTGCCTAGGGAGCTAGAGCTGACAGAAGGAGCTCATCCACACCCTCCCTGGATTCGAGGGGGCTCCACTGAACTGAATTATATGAGTCGACACTGCCACTTAATCCAGTTCGATGCAGTTAATTGGCATTCTGAAGCTGCGTTATACAGCCATAGTTCTCAGCCCAAATGTTGGGAAAAGCATAAGCACAGTAAGGAGCTATGCAATGACTACCATCCCAGTTATGTATTTTGTTTGTTTGCTTAAGGTATTTCTGCACAGAGGGATTTGTGCAAAAAGATGTGAAATACCTCCTTCCACAACCACAAATAAGTCTGGATTTTCACTGCCACAGATTATCCAAATCATCAAAGCGGATAATGCAGACAGCAAAACAAACACCATAGGGATATTAACCCTTCCATGTGCCCTCTCTCTCTCTCTCTCTCTCTCTATATATATATATATATACACACATACATACATACATACATACATATACACATACACACATGCACATATATATATACACACACACATGCAGGTGGGTCAAAATGTAATGCCTCCATCGCTCCCAGCTTTTCTTTCTTTCCCAGCTACTGGACTATCTATGCATGGTATGATAGAGGTAACCTTACTCTACTGATATAGTCTTTTCTTTTTCTGATTGACTGATTAGAACTATAAATCTGAAGCTAAAAGAAAGAGTCGTCAATGAATTTCCAGCAAAAAAAAAAATGCACACCTCAGGAAATCCATCATTGCTTGAAAGATGTTTATGATTTGTCCCCTTCTGACGTTGACCTGTTTGGGCCTCTGAAAGGCAGTCTGTGTGGTTTCAGATTCAATGACTTGGTTGATGTTAAAACAGCTTTAAAATCATGGGTCATGAAGCAAAACCTTGAATTTTTCTGAAATGGTTTGGATGCCTGGGTTAAATGATGACAAAAATGTGTCCAAATTGATGGTGACAGTGTTGAATGGTAGTTTTGGGTAGAGGACACGAGCTGGAGTAATTTCTGCTGTTATAGATTAATTCATAACATTTTTATGACACAGGAGGCAAAACTTTTTGTCCCACACTTTGTGTGTGTGTGTTGAGAGAGAGAGAGAGAGAGAGAGAGAGAGAGAGAGAGAGAGAGAGAACACATGAAACAGTTGATACCATTATGGTGTTTGTTTTGCTTTCTGGATTATCTGCTTTGATGATCTGGATAATATATGGCAGCGAAGATCCAGCCTTATTTGTGGTTGCAATGAGACTTTAAAAATGTATCTGTTTCGATTTGCATACAAACTCAGCTTAAGAACAAGTGTATAGAACTTCCATCAGTCACAGTCAGAATCATCAACAGATTTGGGGATGATGGGAGTCGTGATCCAAAACAATCTGGAGGGCCATGTAAAGGGAGTGAGTCCCTGTTTGTGCCTGCAAAAACACTGTTTGTGAATCTGGGGAGGTGGCTGTGGTTTTCGCTTGCACCTGAGCAACAGAGACACAGCCCTGGGCGCCTTCTCCATATTCAAGCAAAGTCATGATTTGTTTGGTTGGCAGCACTGGGTACGTTTATTGTCAAAGGCAGGTCCTGACCTTCCGGGCCACTGCTATGGGCTCTGGCTCTATGCGAGAGAAGGATGGGGGTCGCCAGCCCCTTCCCGCTTCCCTTCTTTGAGAGCAGACCACCCATGGGACTCTTCCTTACTCAGGTTCTGGCGCATCCCATGGAAGGAACAAGAAGCAGAGTGCCTCCAGCCACTTCTCCCGGAGCGAATGCAAGCATGGGGACGGGCACGGTCCCGTTCCTCTCCCCCTTGTCTTCTCTCTTCACCTGAACAGGTGTGCATTTTCTTACATTAAAAATCATTTGTTTTGTTTCCCCCTTGGTTTCCGCCTTCCCGTGACCCTTCGCTAGGAGCCATTCTCAATTTTGGCCAGGAATTGCTGTGCCCACCAGTCTTCCAGGTCTATAGGCACAAAATCTGGAAAATAAAAAGGAGATATAAAATCAGGAAGGCACGGAAGAAAAACATGTCTGCAAAGTATGATGTGCATAATAATAATAATAATAATAATAATAATAATGCTATAAAACTTTATTTCTACCCCACCCTATCTCCCCAGGAGGCCTCAGGATGGTTTACAGCATATAGCAGCGAACATTCAATACTGTAAAGTGCAGAAAAACAATAAAGACTCGTAAACAACTGGTGAAAACATCTTAAACCTCAAATATCAAATACTAATAAATTAAAAAGCAGATTAAAAACAGAGACAAGAATGATAGTTATAGCAATACATAACAAACTTTGTTCATATATTATTTTTTACTTTATTTTTTATTAATTATTTGACACAATCTCTGATTATATATATATAATCAGAAAATATACATTCAAAAATAATGAAACGTGTCTAGATCTGTACGCAGATGGCAACTTGTACAAAGTAAGTATAACATACTTTACCATTCACTCAAGTTTAAGACATTATGAAAGGAAAATCCATTTTGTTCATATATTATTAACAGATTATCTTGAATTGTTAGATTCCTTAGGTAATAGATTTAGAGAAAGATTTCACAATTTGGCATCAGCAATGTGCGGGGTTGGGTGAAGAAGTTTGAAAGTTTCAGATTCAATGACTTGAATGATGTTCAAACAGCTTTAAAATCATGGGTCACAAAGCAAAACACTGAATTTTTCCAAAATGGTTTTGATGCCTGGGTTAAACGATGGCGCAAATGTGTACAAATTAATGGTGACTCTATTGAACGGTAGTTTTGTGTAGAGGGCAGTTCAGGCTATGATCTGGAACAACTTCTGCTGTTGTATGTGTGACTAAATGAAAACCATGCATAGTTCATTTCTGACCAGTCCACACACTGTCTTGCCAGAGAAAATATATGTCATGCAGATGATCAATAAAGAACAAGTTTACTCTTTGTAATGCAGATCAACATATGTGCAGTCGTTTGAACAATTTCACTGACTCACACAATGTCCCTTTAGAGAGATTCAAAATTGTCCTTTTTGTGTCCATGTAAGAGATCTCCTTTTAGCAGCCAAGAAGCAAATCAGTCTAGATAGCTAGCAGCCTGAATATGTAACTGTTGCCAAAAGTCCCAGGTTCAGCTAGTTCCTTGGGCATGGCCCAACCAATCAGCTTTGTCCTTTGCATTTTCAGTTAACACACACACACTAACTGATTTTACATGCCCCAACAGTATGTTCATTCATAATATTTTGATGACACAGGAGGGAAAACATTTGACCCACCCTCATGTGTGTGTGTGTGTGTGTATTTGGCTGGAGTTACACTTAGAAAATGTCCCTGTTCCAACTTCCATGCAAATTCAACTTAAGAAACCTTGTTTGCCCCTGGGGGACGGTCTGCACTTCTCCTTGCCTGCTATGCATGGGCTCCATGCTGTTCCCATGGGGGCTTCCTTACCTTTCAGTTCGGGGCTGGGAGCCTTTTCTGCATATTGCACTGGGCCGGGGCCGCTATTTCCCTGCCGGCTGTCATCCAGCTGTTGTTCTACCTGTTGCCAGGCTGGAAGAAAAAAGAGGAGGGTGGGTAATTGTTTCTGTTAATTGATGTTATTGCTAGAATTGCTGTTTTCTGTTAACTGATGTTATTTGTCTTATTGCTGTTATGTGATGCGGGCATCAAATTGTGCCTTGCTTTTGTAAGCCACCCTGAGTCCCCTCCGGGGTGAGAAGGGCGGGGTAGAAGCAACCCAAATAAATAAATAAATAAATGGTATAGCATTTGCATGCAGCTCAAAGGCTCCAGAGGGCTTTCAGTAGCATTTAAGGCAGGCATGGGTCGACTTCGGCCCTCCCTTGAGGTGTTTTGGACTGCAACTCCCTCAATTAATGTGATCTCTTTTTTCGATAGCATTACAAGTCAGGTAGATGCAGAGAACTCCGTGGCTGTAGCGTATCTGGATTTCAGTAAGGCCTTCCTTCAATGAGGTCCCCCATGACCTTCTGCAAGGAAACTAGTCCAATGTGGGCTCAGCAAAACTATGGTTAGGTGGATCTGTAATTGGTCAAGTGAATGAACCCAGAGGGTACTTCTTCCCAATGCTTCCTCTTCATCCTGGAAAGAAGTGATGAGTGGAGTGCCAGAAGCAGGGCTCCGTCTTGGGCCTGGTTCAGTTTGGCCTCTTTATTAATGAATTAGATGAAGGGTGAGAAGGCATGATCAACAAGTTTGCAGATGGGACCAAATTGGGAGGGACAGCCAATACTCCAGAAGACAGAAGCAGAATTCAAAATGATCCTAACAGATGGGCCAAAGTTAAAAATAAAGTTCAACAGGGACAAATGCAGAAAAAACGAAATGTAAAGATACAGAATGGGGGACAATGCCTGGCTCAAGAACAGTACGTGTGAGAAAGGTCTTGGAGTCCTCGTGGACAAGTTAAACATGAGCCAACAATGCAATGTGGCGGCAAAAAAAGCCAATGGGATTTTGGCCTGCATCATAGGAGCATAGTGTCTAGATCTAGGGAAGTAATGCTACCCCTCTATTCTGCTTTGGTTAGACCACACCTGGAATATTGTGTCCAATTCTGGGCACCACAATTGAAGAGAGGTATTGACAAGCTGGAATATGTCCAGAGGAGGGTGACTAAAATGATCAAGGGTCTGGAGAACAAGCCCTATGAGGATCAGCTTAAGGAGCAGGGCATGTTTAGCCTGAAGAAGAGAAGGCTGAGAGGAGATATGATAGCCATGTATAAATATGTGAGAGGAAGCCACAGGGAGGAGGGAGCAAGCTTGTTTTCTGCTTCCTTGGAGACTAGGACGCGGAACAATGGCTTCAAACTTCAAGAGAGGAGATTCCATCTGAACATGAGGAAGAACTTCCTGACTGTGAGAGCCGTTCAGCAGTGGAACTCTCTGCCCCGGAGTGTGGTGGAGGCTCCTTCTTTGGAGGCTTTTAAACAGAGGCCGGATGGCCATCTGTCAGGGGTGATTTGAATGCAATATTACTGCTTCTTGGCAGGGGGTTGGACTGGATGGCCCATGAGGTCTCTTCCAACTCTTTGATTCTATGATTCTATGAAGATACTCCACTTAGACAGAAAAAATGAAATGTACCCAGATGTACTGTATCTCTTGGACAGCAAGGTGAACATGTCATGAGGCATCTAAATAAGCCAATGGGATTTTGGTGACCTGGAATCACACTGTGTCCAGTTCTGGGCACTGCAATTGAAGGGAGATGTTGACAGGCTGGAATGTGTCCAGAAAAGAACGACTCAAAGAATCAAAGGTCTGGAGAATAAGCCCTATGAGGAGCAGCTGAAAGAGCTGGGCATGTTTAGCCTGAAGAAGAGAAGGATGAGAGGAGACATGATGAGGGCCATGGATCAAGATGTGGGGGGAAGTCATAGGGAGGAGAGAGCAGGCTTGCTTTTTGCAGCCCTAGAGACTAAAACGCGGAATAAAGACTTCAAACTACAGGAAAGAAGATTCCACCTGAACACGAGGAAGAACTTCCTAGCGGTGAGAGAGAGCTGCTCAACAGTGGAACTCACTGCCCTGGAGTGTGGTGGAAGCTCCTTCTTTTAAACAGAGGTTGGATGGCCATCTGTTGGGGGTGCTTTGAGTGCGATTTTCCTGCTTCTTGGCAGAATCGGGTTGGATTGGATGGCCCACGCCCCACGAGGTCTCTTCCAACTCTAGGATCCTATGATTCTATTATTCTAATTCCTAACAGAATAATAGGCTGTTAGGAATTGTGGGAGTTGAAGTCCAAAACACCTGGAGGGAGGGCCAAAGTCAGTGCATGCCTGATGTATGGACTGCACACTCAAATAGTTTCTTTTACTATGATGCTGTTGAGAAAGAAATGCAAAGTGAGTGAAGAAACAGATACAGTGCCTCTGAGGATGTAGCTACGCTGTATAATTGTAGTTTGGTGAAGCACCAGAACTCTTTGGCAGAGAAGGCTCATAAAACTATAGCTCCCAGGATTCCATAGCATGGAATCATGGCGGTTCAATTTCTATCAAACTGCACTCAGTGACACTCAATTCCTTTCCTTCGGGGCTTTCTCAGGAAGTAAGTATATTGTCGCCAACTTATTTTCCAGAAGTCTTTAAATCATGGAGGTAAGCAGGTTGTGGCTCCCATCATCCACACCTAGCACAGACAGATATAGTATCATAGATTTGAAAGGGACTCCTAAAGAAGGACAGTGATATGTTGCATGTTCCAAAGTAGGCTAACCAGACAATCTCTACATCAACACTAACAAAGAAACAACAAGAAATACTGTTTACCCACAAGCATAAGGACATTACATATATTAGAAACTAACACTTTCTCAATTTTTTTCCAGATCACCAGGCTGGGCCACAGCAATGCATGGCAGGGGACGGCTAGTATAATTATAATTATATTATCATATTATCATACTGCCGGAATGGTATCTATTGATCTACTCACATTTGCATGTTTTTGAACTGCTAGGTTGGCCCAAGTTGGGGCTAACAGCGGGAGCTCATGCCACTCCCCAGATTAAAACCTGCAACCTTTCGGTCTGCAAGTTCAGCATTTCTCAAGGAATTTCTCATGTTATTTGGGGGAAACCAAGCAGAGGATGCCACACCCTCAGGATCCCACTTACCTTCATATACAAAGCGAACGTTTTCTTCGTGAGCCACGGTGTAGCTTTCTTCTACATTTGATGTGGGTTGGATGGTGAGAGCAGGCTTTTTGCCATTTATTCTGTTGAACACGATCTTGGGAGCCATGCTGCCAAGAAAGAAAGAAAGAACGACATAGAGGGCTTTATTCAGGAACACCACATTAATCATTGTTTCAATCTTCCTTAAATTTTGAGTCCAAGCAGGAACCCTAAAGGAGACTGGGTCTCTGCAAGGGACAAACTTGTGTCTTGGGCAACCAGTAATCCCTCCCCTTTGGCCCTCCAGGTATTTGGGACTCTAACTCCCAGAAGTCCCAGTGTTAATTCACCTTCATCCAGAGAGCACTGTGGACTCAAACAATGATGGATCTGGACCCAACTTGGCACACAGACCCAACATGACCAACTGTGAATACTGGTGGGATTTGGGAAGGTCTGACCACAATTTTGGGAGTTGTAGTTCACCCACATCCTAATCCTAATGGAAGCATTAATAAAAAACAAAAGGGAAAACTGACTTTTTTTCTAATAAATAGTATCACAAATTACCTAAGCTGCTTCTGCTGCTAGCCAGTCCCAGTCCCACGTCGTGTGGGCGCTTTCCCCCCTGCCTTGAAGGGCCTCGCTGGCAGGAGCCTCCCTCCAGGCTTGTGTGCTCTCCCTCGCCCATCCATGCGTACCATGCCTGCTCTCCCCGCCCCACTTGGAGTCTCAGAAACAGACCTCTCCTTGGCTGAGAGGCCAGCTTAAAGGCGTGCCAATCACAGCAGGAGGGGGGCTTTTGGTGGGAGGATTCCCTGTAGGTTTCCAAAAAGGAAGGGAAGGACAGGCGGAGAGATCTTCAGCCTTCTTTGCCAAAGGAGTTTGTAAAACCGTAAGAAATATGTGTTTTCTTATGGTCTTTGGTGACCGCTCTGAAACCCCTTGCGACCCCCCCCCCCCCCGGGATCCCGACTCCCAGGTTTAGAAAAGCTACACTAGAGTCTCAAGCAATTGCCACCTCGTTTGTGGCAGGCACAAAAACAATCAAGAGGGCACTACGTAGATAGGAAGTCTGGCTCTAGCATTGCCATGAAGACATTGCGAGGTAGGTCTTCTCAGAGCTGGAGAAGGGAGAAAGCAGGCGAGGCCAAGGCTTGCTGGAGAAACAAGCCAATCCATCTGGATTTTAGCCCAAAATTCAGGGTGCTCAATTCCGTCCTCCTCATGACTTCTACTTTTCGATAGATCAGTGTTTCTCAACTTTTCTAATGCCCTTAATACAGTCCCTCATGTTGTGGTGACCCCCAACCATAACATTATTTTTGTTGCTACTTCATAACTCTAATTTTGCTACTGTTATGAAACATAATGTAAATATCTGAAATGCAGGATGCGTTTCCATTCACTGGTCTGAATTTGGTAGAAATACCCAATATGCTCAAATCTGAATACTGGTGCGGTTGGTGGAGTGAGTGAGTTTGTAGTTGCTGGGATTTATAGTTCAGCTACAAAACAACCAAGTTCCTGGAGTAGAACATCTCTTTTTTGAAGAAGGTACCAATAACAAAACAGGAATAACACTTTTAAACCAGGAGCAGACATTTTTTCAAATTTTGCTGCATAGTGTTATGAGCCCACTTCACGGTCTTCCACAATTTATTTAATTTTCGGGATGCCTCCTTTCTTTTTGAAGACATCTGCACTAGCTCATTCACTCCCATAGCTCAGGAGTCACCGCTTCTCTGGGGCAAGACTTAATTTATGCTCTATTGCTGAGCATGTGGCTCCTGATAGACATGCCTTGGATTGTGCAATCGAGCCATGTGACAGGGCACCCGGAGGGGAGAGTTGCAAAACAACCAAGCAGTGCCTTCTCACTCAATTGGCTAGATGCAGATGGCAAATCCTCCGGCACCTTTGAATAATAATAATAATAATAATAATAATAATAATAATAATAATACTTTATTTATACCCTGCTACCATCTCCCCATCTAATTTTTTGAAGGGAGTCAATGGCAAGTGAAGAAAACAGCCAGTTGTCACTTCATTTGGCTTGGAATATAATCCACAGAATTCCCCTTGCAGCAACTTTAAAATCAACAATGGTCTTTCTTTCCAGACATTCAAATCCATTTTTTGCAAACTCTTCATTACAGTTCACCTGCAATCAGTGAGCACTATGTACTCCACCAAAGATGGAATTGGACCAAACTTGGCACACAGAGCCCCCAGGACCAACAAAAAATGCTGGAGGTCTTTGGGGAAAATTCACCTTGATTTGGGGGAGTTGTAGTTCACTGTCATCCAGAGAGCACTCTGAACCCAAACATACCTGATATGTCGAAATTTGATTACCGGCGGGGTTTGGGGGGAACTGACCTTCCTTTCTGGGAGTTGTAGTTCACCCACAACCAGGGAAACTGTGACCTCCACTGATGATGGATCTGGACCAAACTTGGCACACAGAATCCCCATTACTAACTCAACCAATTGGAGGGATTTGAGGGGACTGACTCACCATAGTGGGAGTTGTAGTTTACCCTGCAGCCAGAGAGCACTTTTAATCCCACCGATGATGTATCTATCTAGATCAGCGTTTCTCAGCCTGGGGGTTGCGACCTCTGGGGGATCAAGAGGGGGTGTCAGAAGGGTTGCCAAACACCATCAGAAAACACACTATTTTCTGTTAGCCATGGGAGTTCTGTGATGGAAGTTTGGCCCAATTCTGTCATTGGTGGGGTTCAGAATGCTCTTTGATTGTAGGTGAACTATACATCTCATCAAGTACAATTCCCAAATGTCAAGTCTATTTTCCGCAAACTCCACCAGTGTTCACTTTTGGGCATATTAAATATTTGTGGCAAGTTTGGAACAGATCTATCATTGTTTGAGTCCACAGTGCTCTCTGGATGTAGGTGAACTACAACTCCAAGACTCAAGGTGAATGCCCACCAAACCCTTCTGGTATTTTCTGTTGGTCATGGGAGTTCCGTGTGCCAAGTTTGGCCCAGTTCCATTGTTGGTGGAGTTCAGAATACTCTTTGATTGTAGATTAACTATAAATCCCAGCAACTACAACTGCCAAATGACAAAATTAATCCCCCCCCCCCCAGTATTCAAATGTATATCAGGTATTTGTGCCAAATTTGGTCCAGTGAATGAAAACACATCCTGCATATTAGATATTTACATTACAATTCATAACAGTAGCAAAATCACAGTTATGAAGTAGCAACAAAAATAATTGTATGGTTGGAGGTCACCACAACATGAGGAATTGCATTAATGGGTTGCGGCATTAGGAAGGTTGAGAAACATTGATCTAGAGCAAGTTTGCCCAACATAATAAACTTTAGGTCCTGATGGGAGTTTCTCGGAGTTAATCCGACATAATGTAAGTTGTAGTTTACCCACAACTTTATGCATTTTGTAGAATTGAAAAATTGACTTTTTCAAATAACTTGGGCAACGTCAGGTACCCAAGCTAGTATACACACACACACACAAGGGGGTCAAAACGATTTGCCTCCTGTGTCATAAAAACATTATGAACCAATGGGTTGTTGTAGGTTTTGGGGGGGCTGTATGGCCATGTTCTAGAAGCATTCTCTCCTGACGTTTCTCCTGCATCTATGACAGGCATCTTCAGAGGTTGTGAGGATGCCTGCCATGGAGGCAGAGGTTCTGAGGATGCCTGCCACAGATGCAGGTGAAACGTCAGGAGAGAATGCTTCTAGAACATGGCCATATAGCCTGAAAAACCTACAACAACCCAGTGATTCTGGCCATGAATACATTGTGAATGAACGTATAACAGCAAAAGTTGCTCCAGATCATAGCCTGAACTTTCCTCTACACAAAACTACCCTTCAATGTAATCACAATCCATTTGGACACATTTGCCCCATCGGTTAACCTGGGCATCCGAACCATTTTGGAAAAAATCGTGACCCATGATTTTAAAGCTGTTTGAACGTCATTCAAGTCATTGAATCTGAAACCATGTGGGTCCAAACAGGTCAAAGTCTGAAGGGGCCAAATCTGGGCTGTAGGGTGGGTGAGGCACTACAGACCATACATACAGCCCTGATTTTTTTTTCCAAAATGGTTTGGATGCCTGGGTTAAACCTTGGCGCAAATGTGTCCCAATGGATGGTGACAATATTGAACGGTAGCTTTGCATAGAGGAGAGTTCAGGCTATGATCTGAAGCAACTTTTGTTGTTCTAGGTTCATGCATAACACTTTTATGTCACAGGAGGCAAAACTTTGTGACCCACCCTGGTATTATGACATGGCAGTGCAGAAGGGGCCGGGATCCAGCCATGGGTGGCAAACTGCACTGAGCCCAGGCTCCTTAAAGGAGCCGCACGCGCCTCAGCAAGGCGGGCCAGCGGCCAAGCGGGAAGGGCCTCCTGTCTCTTTAAGAAAGAGAACGCAAAAGAAAAGAACAGGCTGGCTGTCATTGGGAGAAGTGGCAGGACACGCTCCCACTCGTGATCAAGGCCGAGGGGTTACTGGTTTGACTTTTCTCGCATGGGAAGGGGAAGGGGGCACCCACGTTGAACTCCCCCTGGTGGGTCTTCTCCCCACTGCCACGTGTGCCCAGACCACGCCCCTTTCATACGCGGCCCCGCCTTCTCGGGAGCAAAGTTGACCGCCAGAGAGGCCTCAAGGGGAGGGGAGAGCTGTGTGCCCGAGCCACCCACTCGTGTCTGCGTGGGCCCCTCCCCATTTGCACCACGTGGGTGCCCCCTCCCCCTTTCTTCCCTGTTTGTCCTTGGAGGTCACCTTCCCACAAGGTCATGGCCCACCCCAGCGCCGCAGGCACGCGTGGAAAAGGCGAGCCTTGTGTTCCCCGATCCAGGCACCCCAAGAAGGGCAGTAGATGCAAGAAAAAGTAGGGCGAGGGGAGGCCAAAGAGGCAAGGTCACAGCCCAAACACCTCACCCACCCCCCCACGCGGGAAAGTGTCACCATTGATGGGGGAAAAGGGGACTCACTTTTCGTGGGGCTTCTCCTCCTGCTGCTGCTGGGCCCGGCGGCGGCATTTCAGCTCCGAGGCTTTGCTCTCCACTTGCTGCGTGGGTCCTGCGTGGGTCGGGGAAAGCGGCGTCACTCGCCTTCATCTCATGGAGTGTTTTATTTGGGGGGGGGGAGTGGGAGAGTGAAATGTCCCTTTGGGTGCATCTACACTGCAGAATAAATGCGGTTTGATTCCACTTGGACTGCCCTATGGGGTTCTGGGGCTTGTAGTATGGTAGGGTATATAGATGAAGTAGTAATCAAACTGCTGCGCTATATATATATATATATATATATATATATATATATATATATATACACACACACACATATATGCATTATATTTATACGAAAATATACTTTACAATATAAAGATATAGCCATATATATATATATGTAGAAATATATAATTATATAATATATTATATAATTATATAATATATATAGCTATATCTTTATATTGCAAGGTATATTTTAGTATAAATATGCATAATATTTATAGAAAAATATACTTTGCAATATAAAGATATAGCTATATATATAAAGTAAATATGTAGAAATATGATATTATCAATAATTATATAATATATTATATAATTATATATAGTTATAATATCATTATATTGCAAAGTATATTTTTCTATAAATATTATGCATATGTTGTCAAAGACTTTCATGGCTGGAATCACTGGGTTGTTGTAAGTTTTCCAGGCTGTCTGCCCATATTCCAGAAGCATTCCCTCCTGACATTTTGCCTGCATCTATGGTAGGCATCCTCAGAAGTTGTGAGGTTGTAATACATATATTACTAAATATGTACACATATAATATAAATAACATATGCTCCTGAGAGCAGCAGTTTGATTATTGCTTCACCTATATACCCTACTATACTATAAGCCCCAGGACCCCATAGGGCAGTCCATAATTCTAAAATATACTTTGCAATATATATATATATATATATATATATATATATATATGCATAATATTTATATTAATATTCTATCTACATATAATATTGATAATGTAATTATATTTATATATAGCATTTAAAATATCAATATATTTTCTGTATATATTATTATTATTATACATTGTTTTTATCCCATCCTATCTCCCCAAGATATATATTACAAATTTATAATATTTACACTAAAATTATATCTTATGTACATATTATATTTGTAATATAAATATATTATAGCTATATATAAACACACATATATTTACTCTAAAATTATATATATATATATATAATTATTGTATTTACATATTGCATATTTATAATATAAATATATAATACCACTGTATACATATATATTTATACTATAATTATATCTTATGTATATATTATATTCGTAATATAAATATGTTATAGCTCTATGTATACAACATTGAAAATGTAATTATTATATTTATATATAACATATTTATAATAGCTGAGTATATATATATATATACTATAATTATAACATGTATATATTATATTTGTAAATAAATATATCATGGCTATATATGTAATATTTATACACATTGATAATATAATTATATTATATGTTTACATAGCATATTTATAATATAAATATATTATAGCTCTGTGTACACATATACATTACTTATTATATCTTATGTTGATAATATTTATAATTTAATTATAGTCTCTTTATATGCATTCTATTGATAATATCAAAATAATATATTTACATTGGGAATATTTGTTTTGGGGCAACCTTTTTTTTTGGAGGGGGTATATATATATATATATATATATATATATATATATATATATATATATATATATATATATAGGGTTGGAGAAGGGATGAAAAAGGGAAAGAGAGCAAAAGGAAAGCAGGGAGAAGTCCAGTGCAGGGAAGTGTCACGCGTGGAAGCGACACGCCCCCTTCCTTCCTTCCTTCCCCGGCTTTTGCCCCTTGCCCTTTGCCCTGACCCTTACCTGTCCTCCTCTGGGTGACCAGCTTGCTCGGTCCCCTCGTGATGGTGTACATCGTGGGCAGACAGAGAGATCAAGGCAAGAGAGGTGCCTGAAGTTGCATCACCAAATCCCTATAGGAAAAGACTCTTTTCCAAAATGTTGTGCAATTAGATTGCAATTCCACGCAGCGCCACTCGTGTCCCCCAAACACGGAAGGGGTTTCCCCGATGGATTTGCAAGGTCTTCTGCGTCCTGCGCCTCCGATCCCTTGCCCGCCTGTTGCCAGAGCCGGAGGCGCTGCGGCTCCTTTAAGCGGCGGGGGCTCGTCTTGGCCACGCCCTCTCCGGCCACGCCCCCAGGACTCCTTAAAGGCACCGCCACGTTTTTTTCTGTACAACCTAAGCAAATGGGAAAGCCTGCCTCATTCAAGGGCTGGATCTACACTGCCATTTAATACAGTTTCATTGATAGGTTTTTAACTGAATTTTCCCACTGCTGTCTATGTTTAATTCTGCTTTAATTTTTGTACATGTATATATTTTATATTCAGTGCTAATGCTGTCAAGCCACTTCCTTTAAAAACCTTGGGGGGAGATAGATAGATAGATAGATAGATAGATAGATAGATAGATAGATAGATAGATAGATAGATAGATAGATAGACACATACACACACACACACACACATATATACATACATACACATATACACTCACACCTATATATTATTATTATTATTTTATTATTATTATTATTATTATTAAACTTTATTTGTACTCCGCTAGCATCTCCCGAAGGACTCAATGCGGCTTACAAAGGCCAAGGCCTCAACACACAACATAGCAATACAAAACCCAAGGCAAATTAAAAACAATTAAAGCAATATAACAACAAGCAATAAACAATACACTAGGACACAACAAAACTGGGCCTGGCCAGAGCAATGGGTACAGGATTAAAAGTGCTGATGTGACAGGTGGAATATAAGGCTTATAGGGCAAGTGCAGTGTGCAGCATGTGGCAATCTTAGTTTTAATAAAGTGCTTATGGGACTTGGTATTGGAGATTTCCTATTCTGGGAAGGCACATCGGAATAGCCAGGTCTTCAAGTTCTTTCTAAAGACTGCCAGGGTAGGGGCCTGTCTAAGATCTTTGGGGAGGGTGTTCCAGAGTCGGGGGGCCACCACAGGAAAGGCCCTGTCTCGTGTCCCCACCAAACGCGTATATAGATTTATAGATGCATAGAGATATGTATGTGTGTGTATATATATGTATGTGTGTAATGCATTGCCTCTATAACAATATATGTTTATATATGCACACACTATATGCATGACTATATGTATATATAAATATATAGATGCATGTAGATATGTATGTATTTGGAATGCATGTCTCTCTATGTATGTATATATGTGCATATATATATATATATACACACACACACACACACATGCCTATGTGTGTATATATAGATATTTAGGTGCATATAGATATGTGTGTGTGTATATGTGTGTGTCTGTGTGTAATAAATGCAGGTCTATGAGTGTATATAGTTGTATAGATGCATAACAATAATAGTAGTAATAGTAATAATCTTTATTTATATCCCGCTCCCTCTCCAAAAGGACTTGGGGTGGCATATAGATATATTTGCGTGTGTGTGTGTGTGTGTGTGTAATGTACACCTGTCTCTCTCTATATGTGTGTATGTGCACATGTATAGATAGCCGTCCCCTGCCATGTATTGCTGTGGCCCATTCTGTGTATATGTCTTTTGTGTGTGTCTATATGTGTGTGTATATTTGTGTATATGTGTGTTTGCGTATATATATGTGGTTTTGCGCATGCGTTGTAATGTATTTTTTGGCTTTTTAAGTCTCTTCTGCTGTGTTTTTGAGTTATGCTAATCCCACAAACGAACATTACATTTTTATTTATATAGATAGATGTGTATGTGTAATGCATGCCTCTCTATATACGTATATGTACATGTATATGCATATATGTATAATATATGCATGCAGATGCATCGAGGGGGGGGATACATACATGCATTTTGGAAAACCTGTACCTAATGAGCTACCTTTGAGATGGGGCACAAACACAAAATCCATTTAGGTTTCATACCCTACTTAACTTCAAGATAGTTTATACAATATTTTGAATAGTTTTGTGCATGCACCAAGCCAGGGTTGTGTACATTGTACTACCAGAAAGTAAAGGCGTTACGCTCTCCACTGCTTATTTGGACCATTTTGGAATCCCAGGTGAATGCTCCTCAAGGTGCCTGCAAAGAGTGGCCCCTTAAGCAGTGTGCCCATTCACTCCTGGCCTCCTGAGGCTGCCAAATGAGCCGGTTTTCTCACCTCTCACCTAACATGACAGGAAAAACCAGGAGGAGGCTTAAGCTTTGTTTGGGGGCTCGTGTGCCAAGGGCTGCAGGGCATCTCCCAGCCTTGTATTTCTCCTTCCCTAAAAAAAAAAAAAAAGGCAGGAAAGCTTTAGGGAGGGAAAGGGGTCAGATGAGGAGAAGGTCATTTGGTCAACCCTGCAAGGAATGTGTTGGCAGACCATTAGCTAAGGCGGTCTTTGCAGACTGACCAGGGGCAAAAGGTGGCTCATTTCGGGTGCATCAACAGACTCGTTTCAGGTGCATCTGCACCAGGCATGGGCAACCTTTCTAATTTGGGGCTGTGTGCTAGCACTCCCTGCTAGGAGGACTGTTTGCCTGGTGATGGAAGGAAGGAAGGAATCATCATCATCATCATCATCATCATCATCTTTAATTATATCCTGCTTTTTCCCCTAAGCAGGACCCAAAGCAGCTCACAACATTTTAAGACAATACAAATCAACCATACATGAACAATAAGAAAGAAGGGAAGGGGGAAGGAAAGAAAGAGGGAAGGAAGTGAGGGAGGAAGAGAAGAATGGAAGGAAGGAAGGGAAGAATAAAGGAAAAGAGATAAGGAAGGAAAGACAAAAGAGAGGAAGGAAGGAAGGGAAAGAGGAAGGAAGGGGAAGAGGAAGGAAGGATGAATTGAGGGAGGGAGAAAGAGGGAGGGAAGGGTTGAAGGGAAGGAAGGAAGGGAAAGAGGAAAGAAAGAGAGAAGGAAGTGAAAGAGGAAGGAAAGAGAGAAAGAAAGAAGGGAAAAGGAGAAAAGTGGGAGAGAGGAAGGAGGAGGGAAAGACAAAAGGGAAGGAAGGATGAAAGGTTGGAAGGGAAGGAAGGGAGGGAGGAAGGAAGAAAGGGAAAGAGGGAGAGAGGGAAGGAGAGAGGAAGGAGTGAAGAAGGAAAGACAAAAGGGAAGGAAGGATGAAAGGTTGGAAGGGAAGGAAGGAAGGAAGGGAAGGAGGAAGGAAGAAGGAAAGAGAAGGAAGGAAGGACGAGAAAAGAAAGAGGGAAGGAGGGAGGAAAGAGTGAAGAAGGAAAGACAAAAGAGAAGGAAGGATGAAAGGTTGGAAGGGATGGATGGCTGGAAGGTTGGAAGGAAGGGAGAGAGGGAGGAAAGAGAAGGAAGGGAAGAAGGGGAAAAAGAAGGAAGGGAAGGATAAAGGAAAGAGAGGAATGAAAAACAAAAGGGAAGGAAGGAGAAAGAGGGAGAGGGAGGAAAGAGGGAAGGAAGGAAAGACAAAAGGGTGGAAGGGAATGGACTGAGGAAGAAAGAGGGGAGGGAGGAAAAGGAGAAGGAAGGAAAGACAAAAGGGAAGGAAGGAAGGAGAAAGAGGGAGGGAGGGAGGAAGGATGATAGGGTGGAAGGGAAGGAGAAAAAGGGAAGGAGCAAGCAAAGAGAGAAGGAAGGAAGGATAGGATAGTGTGAGAGAGGAGGGCCTGAGAAAAGAGCCCAAGGGGCCGCATCCAGCCCCTGGGCCTGGTTTTGCCTATACCTGATCTACACTGTAGAACAAATGCAGTTTGACACCACTTGAACTGCCGTGGTTCAGTGCTATGGACTGATGGGTGCTGTCATTTTGCAAGGTCTTTAGCCTTCTCTGCTTCATCAAATGACAAGAACCGGGGAAGTTAAAGTGGTGCCGGACTACATTAACTCACCTTCCCTGTGGCTCACGGGCTGCATTGTTCTCACACTCATCCTGCTGAAATGCTGAGCGATGTGGGTCCTCCATGCACGGTTTTACTCCAGCTCCTATCAACCCCTATGAGGAGCGGCTTAAAGAGCTGGGTATGTTTAGCCTGCAGAAGAGAAGGCTGAGAGGAGACATGATAGCCATGTATAAATATGTGAGAGGAAGTCATAGGGAGGATAGAGCAAGCTTGTTTTCTGCTTCCCTGGAGACTAGGACGTGGAACAATGGCTTCAAACTACAAGAAAGGAGATTCCATCTGAACATGAGGAAGAACTTCCTGACTGTGAGAGCCGTTCAGCAGTGGAACACTCTGCCCTGAAGTGTGGTGGAGGCTCCTTCTTTGGAAGCTTTTAAACAAAGGCTGGATGGCCATCTGTCGAGGGTGCTTTGAATGCAATATTCCTGCTTCTTGGCAGGGGGTTGGACTGGATGGCCCATGAGGTCTTTTCCAACTCTATGATTCTATGATTGCAGCCCCGCAATAATAAATAATAATAAAACGTTATTTGTACCCTTCTACCATCTCCCCAAGGGACTCAGTGTGGCTTACATGAGGCCAAGCCCACAGTACATCAATAAACAAAAGCAATAAGAAAACAATCAAAGCAATACAATTAATATAAATCACATAACAATAATAATAATAAATTAATCAACAGTAACACACAAGGATTTAAAACCAATGGCGGGGCCAAATGTAATAGATTAAAATGAACTTCTTGGAGAGCCACTCAATCCTAACCCATGCTCCTTGGGAAAGGCCTGCAGCTTTAAATAGGTATTCTTCAGAAGGGTGCGTTTGCAGGATGTACTCTTGTGGGCACCTTTTATTTTAATGTGTACTGTTGAAACATCTGCTTTGTTCTCACAATACTCTTTCAGGAAAAATAAAAGTATGCGGCAGAGTAACGTATCACGTTACAAAAAGGCATGTTTAAAACAGTGTGAGAGAATAGTGTCAAGCAATGGCAACTAAACCAAGGAAGCCAGTAGGAAATTAACTTTCCTCTCCTAGGAATTAATAAGTACAAGTCACAGAGTGTGTCGGCATGTGACCAATTGACTGTGTTTGCGAAGTGTGACCATATCAAAGATCAACGGGGGTACTTGGCAGGGTTTTGTTTTGGAGCGCAAAACTAGGATGCAATCCAAAGGAAGCAGAGAAAGCCCAGGGCAGTCGCTGCCTGAGGCAGAATAGGAAAAAAAAACAC